CGGAAGGGCCGTGGCTTTGGCTCCGGTGAGTGTGGGGTAAACGGGGTTTGGATCGGCTGGAACTGCGGGTTTTGGAGTCCCCGTTCAGATTCATGGGGAACAGTGGGAGGGGGGATTTCCGGTGATCTCGTGTATGTTTCCTAGAAGAGGGGTCTCGAGCACGGATGCGTGAGGATTATGACAGCGTGGAGCAGGATGGAGATGAACCCGGACCGCAACGCTGTAAGTAAAATGGAGCCTGTAAGGTATCTGTGTCTGTAGAGAATTAGAGACCACTAAAATAAAACCCAGTAGGAAAGGGGTCAGAGATAACTATCAATCTCTGGAATCCGCACTCACTCTACTCCTGTGTGATCTTGCTTCAAGTTTTTTTCTCATATATTCAACATCCCTCCCTTCCTCAATAGCTGTTGAAGGCTGGATTCTCTTTGTCACTGGAGTCCATGAGGAAGCCACAGAAGAGGACATCCATGACAAATTTGCAGAGTATGGGGAAATAAAAAACATCCACCTCAACCTGGACAGGCGTACAGGATACCTGAAGGTATCCTAAGTTATACTCCATTGCCTCTTTTCCCCCATAACCCTGATAGGTCTCCCACATTTGCAATAGTTGGCCAAGAGATATGTTGAAGTAAAATGACATTGGAAATTGATTTTGTTAGACACAGCAGAGACAGACACAAACATGTATATATAGCAGGAATTTATGATGTATGTTCATTGTTTAAAGTTGATAGGTTTTCCTATTTAAGTAGAAAACAGCTTGGTGGAATAGGAGGGTTTTGATATCTGTCTTTTCATTTGCCCTAGGGGTATACTCTAGTTGAGTATGAAACATACAAGGAGGCCCAGGCTGCTATGGAGGGACTCAATGGCCAAGATTTGATGGGACAGCCTATCAGCGTGGACTGGTGTTTTGTTCGAGGTCCACCCAAGGGCAAGAGGAGGTACAGTGGAGTGGGCAAACACGATCTTGGTGAAGGGAATATAATAATACAGACAAAGAACATTGTATTATGTCCTTTTTATGTACCTCTTCCCCCTTTTCTTTTCCCTAGAGGTGGCCGAAGACGCAGCAGGAGTCCAGACCGGAGGCGCCGCTGACAGATCCTCTGTTGTCCAGGTGTTCTCATCAGAGATTCCAGTTGACCATGCAGCCTTGGAGAAATAGGGCTGGGTGGAACTCATTGTTTATAATTAATCTCTTACCCTATTGCTTAGTGGGTTTTTTTTTTTTGAGTTATGAATAAATGTCCTACTGTTTTCTACATTTAAAATTCCTTTCCTGCACTAACATTGCAAGTTCTGAAGTACTGTTTACAGTAAGGTAGTATGGGTCACTGAGAATATACTTCTTCCATTAACCAAATTCTGTGTGAGTTTCTACATTAGACACAGTCTCAAAGGGTCAAAGTAGAAACACTGCATGGTATTTCTTTTTCTTGGAAGCTAAAGAACAAGGGTAGAAGTGAGATGTTACCAGGATGTTAAAGAATTATTCTCTTTATCCTACATATACTCTATCCTGAGAAAATGGATGTTATAGGAATGTATGTTCTATTTGCTGCCACATTTATACTTCCAGCTGTCTAGCAGAGGATGGAGGTCAGCAAGACAAACATGTCTAAGGAGCAGCAGAGGACAAATTCACTGGCAGGGGCTGAGAATTTTAAGAAATACACTGAAATCCTGAATCATTTATCTCTTGACCTGAGTATAGGGTAAATTGATAGGTGGGCAGTAAGGTGGAACTCTTCCTACAAAGAACACAATGCTGCAAACTTGCCTCTCCTTACTATCTTGGGACTGTATATTCCCTTCCCCCTAGGGATTATGACAGACATGATAGAGAAAAAAGGTATGATTGAGGTGATACTATATGAAACTACTAAGTCTACTTTACAACTTCCTGGTGTCCCAAGAGTAAAGGAGAAGAATGATCACCTTTTTCCTTAATCCTTGCCCAGCTAACATAAGTTCAGACAATAGCTAGAGGTTAGTTAGAATTGAAGGCATTCAAGAAAACTAGTACGAAGTGCTAGAAATTCAGTAAGGATATTTTGGTTTGATAGGTAGCTATCAGATAAATAATTAGGCTAGAGGCAATAGTTTTAGGGTATGGATTAGGGCCTGGGGATTGAAGACTCGCCTTCATTGTCAGGGGACTAGACACACTGAAAACAGTGTGGCTGTAGCAGAAGGTCATGGCAGTCAGTGCCAAAGTCAGAATGGGCAGCAGAAGGCAAAGGAGTCTCTTGCAGTTGAGCCTTGAAGCTGCCTTTGGTGACACACTTGAGTGAAGGGGTCTGGGACAGCTTGGTAGGTGGTATGGAATAAGAATTGCTGGAGTGGGGTTGAGGACTATTAAAATTGGTCTTTCACCTCCCCCCAACCTATCCACCAGCGTGACACTATCTCTTCCCAACTCATCTTTGAATCTATGAAAAACAGTGCAGTGCTGAGTTATGGTTCTCCCATGGTGCTAATATTAAAAAGGTTAGAAAGGTATCTTGAGCCCTGGCTGGTGTAGCTCAGTGGACTGAGTGCAGGCCTGTGAACAAAGAGTCACTGGTTCAATTCCCTGTCAGGGCACATGCCTTGGTTGAGGGCCGGGTCCCCAGTGGGGGGTGTGCAAGAGGCAACCACACAATGAAGTTTCTCTCCCTCTCTCCTTCCTTCCCCTTCTCTCTAAAAATAGATAAAAATCTTCTTAAAAATGTATCTTGAAAATCCCTATATTCTATTTAGGCTCTGGAGCTAACCATTAAGTTTGTTAAATCCTGGGACTTAAACAATCCTGCTTTTTCAAGTACTAAACACTGCACTTTACAGAACGTGAACAAGCTAAAAATTCAGTCACAGTGGCCAAGCCAGGATTTAGAACCAAGGTTTGCCTCCAAAGCCAACTCTATTGTACTGTACTGCTTTATTTCACTATTAATCCTCACAACATGGTCTGTAAAGTGGATTTTGAACTCCATGAACATAGGGACTGAATATCTGTCATTCACCACTGCATGTGGTGATCAATAAATACTTGTTAGATGAATGAGTGGAACATATGAGGTCTAGAGAGTTTAAGCAGTTTATCCAAGACCATACAGCCACTATTTAACAGGGCCAGGTTCTCATTCCAAGATGTACGCACTATAAACTAAGATCCTACAGCATACTGAGCTATGTGTGTATCTTGGGTAGGGTTTTGGAGGTAGAGGGTATACAGGACAAACAGGTGAAATGACAAGTGTTTTTATTTTGTATAAATGCTGAGATCCTACATGAGTGAAAGTAAAGCTAAACATTACACTTTACAAAAGGATATCTCTTCCACCTCACCAACATTTTTAGATGAAATTATTTTTCCAATGTGTCTGTGATTTTTGTGGAAAAAAATCTTGCGTAAAATGGGTGCTGCTAAAATTTTAGGGCATTTTGCAGCCTCTCTGAAGTGACCTTTAGTAATAGTCTTACGTACAATACAATAACTATAATGGTGAAACAATGTTAAATAATAAAATTTAACATTTTCCAAATGCCGTTTGCTGCCCCTCCCCCTTTTTGGTAAATTGATGAATTTTTTATTTGAATCAGCAAAGAGTATTTTTCAGGTTTGAGCTTCCAAGTTAGTAGCTTTGTTCAGGTCAGGTAGATTGAGTCACTATTGTTTGATAAAAGGCAATTTCTATAGGTCAGATTGCTAGGTATAAGGCATTTCGAAAAGTGATTTCAACAGGCACAAGGGACTTGTAGGAAAGGCATAGTATCAGTCATAGACATACAATTTTATGAAATGGTTGGAGTTATGATCAGGCTACACTGAGCCAGGTGGACACTGGTCTTTCCTTTTCCCCTATCTTGAGTCCCTATATTTCCGGTGTTTGGGAATTTTAGGGTTTTTGTTTTTTTGTTTTTGTTTTTTTTTGTTTGTTTGTTTTTGTTTTTTTGCACTGTGCCTAGAAATACTTCACACTGTAAGAAGGGGTTTAAAAATAGGTCAGGCTCCTGGACTTAACGTTTGATCCACAGCCTTCTGCCTCTCCTTTCCCTATTTTATATGCAGTTTACCACCTAAAAACCTTTTCAACTACTACCAATACTTCTGAAACTTGAGTTTACAAACTAATTTCTAATTACCTCAGTACTCCATCACACTAACACCACATTAAAAAAATTTTTTACTCTAATATTTTAAATGCAACATAATATATGGGCAATGCAGAATTATACAATTTGGAACACTAATTTCATAATTAGAACACTAATTTAGAACTAAAAACACCTTTTGCACATGTATTATAATGTTACCACCAGTCTGGCATTGAAGCAAATGGAGATTGCAACTATTAATCAGGTTGTCAGGCTCTAAGAAAGAATGAAATTCATCTGTGTCATCATGTTGTGGCCCATGGATTTCAAGTGACTTAGCCAAAGTCATATAGTTAGTGGTAGAGCCTAGACTCAGAAAAAACAAAGTAAAACAAGCAAACAATGCAACAAAAACAGATTTCTAACTCCAAGTGTACACCTAAAATTTGCTTCTTGTAAACAAACCCAACTGTAATTACTTTCACAGAGGCAACAAGCTGCTTTTTAAGTCTTGGGGTAGCAGAGGTCCTGTATGCAGCATACTATTGGAATATATATATAAAAGGTCTGTCCGGAAAAAGTCCAGTTATTGTTAATATAACAAGAATGGTTTGCACGACAGTTGATGTAACCTGGCAGCCAAGGAGAGTGGACTGGAATGTGTATGCATGAACAATGATGACTTCACTGTACTAATCAGTGGGGGCAGGAGATGCCGTTGCCTGAGCATGTATGTCTACTGTATTCAAAATGACTGAGTAGAGCAACGAATCTGCATCAAATTTTGCATTAAGCAAAATTCCTCCACAGAAACTTTTGATTATTCAGAAGGCTGTCACTATGGGTGACTGGCAGTTTCATCAAAACACGCCTGCTCATGCATCACATCTCCTGCAGAGTTGTTGTTTTTTTCTCTCAGTCACTCCTCTTCATCTCCCTGCTTTGAGTCAACAGTGGAGGGTCAGATGGTCATACAGAGTTTTTGGTGAAACATCAAATCACCTGGGTGACTCAGCACCACTACAGCCAAATTTGGCACCCTGTGACTTCTGGCTTTTCCCAAAACTAAAATCACCTTTGAAAGGGAAAAGATTTCAGACTGTCAATGAGACTGTCAATGCGATTCAGGAAAATACAACAGTGCAGCTGATGGCATCTGGGAGAACTGTGATGTCCCCAGGTGCCTACTTTGAAGGGGACTGAGGTGTCACTGTCCTATGTACAATGTTTCCTGTACCTTGTATCTTCTTCAATAAATGTCTTTTTCGTATTACATGGCTGGCTACCTTCTGAACAGACTCTGTGCATAGTCTTAGAACTATAGTCAGGTTAATTTTTGGTATTTATATGTCTAATATTTGAGGGTTTAAGGATAAAATCTTTGACTCTATAATGCATTATTATTATTTGAAAGACTGAAATTTTAGCCCCAGATATTCTCCTAATCCTACCTTCAGATGCTGCGGTCTACCTATCACACCCTTCCATTCCCCTATGGTGGTAGTGGATTTTGTTTTGAAGAAATTGCTTCATATTTAACTTCTTTCTAGATTCCAGTTCATTTTCATATTGAGATTTGATTACCTGGTACTCAAGTTCAGATGCTCCCTTCCCCTCCCCAGTTTGACACCCATTTCACAATAAAACTAAAGTAAAATATACAAACCTGATTTGTATATTTTCATATACAAATCAGATATATATATTTGTATGTTGTCACTCTACTTTCTATTTTAGTGTCTCTCCCTACCCTGAGGGCCAAGTACAACCTTAATATTTGTAATGTGGTTCATTACCATTTTCTAGCCCTCAACTTCAGCTGCAACCACTTTGAGATCTACTACCCTCCAGCCTCCCCAGCATTCCTTCTACTTTAACTTATTTAACACCTATCTTTCAGGAATCAAATTTTAACATCCTTGAGAAACTTTCCCTGACCAAGAGTGGATCAGACATCCCTCAGTGTTCTTTTGCTCCTTATACTTACCTTTAGCATAACATTTAACTGTACACCGTATTGAATTAATTTGTCTCCTGCACTAGTGTATAAATTTCTTGAAGGCAGAACTTTGTTGCTCTATCCTTGATAGAGCATTTGGGTGTACCTGGGGATGATGCACAATATTTTTTTTTAATCGATTAACCAAAGCTCTTGGCTTCACTGTCTTCTTAATAGACCCCCATATGTTTCCTCCCTGCCCTAGAATTTTTCTGCAACAATGTCCTGAAATAAGGTGGAATTAGGAGGATGCAAAGAGGGGAAGCTAAGTGTAGTAAACTCAAGCTGAAGGGAGAGGGTAGATAAAAGGGTACTGCTTTTAAGAGGTAGGCTCTTAATAGAGATACAAATTAACATGCAAAAAAATAACAGACGCTCCTCCCTAAAGATTAAGCGCTGACCAAGACCAACCACACCCATTGTCTCTGAAGGCTCATGTACGTACCCAAATTCTTGTTCAGTCTAACCCCGAATCCAGACAAGTCACTCACCTGGCACAAGGTAAGCAGAAAACAGTCCACAGGCTGCCCTCGTAAGTTTCCTTACAGTTGACTTGGATCCAATCAGGTGGAGTACTGCTGCCTGGCGGTGGAGCCCAATGGCCACAGGCAGGAAAGCTGCCGCATAAATGGCCATTAGTTTCAGGAACATGAGTGTCCCACATGTGATGTCCCCGGCCAGCCACTAAACAATGATTTCCCAGATGGCATCTAGGAGTATAACCACAAAAGTGACCAGTAAGTCGAAAGCTGCTAAATGGACAAATAGAATAGTCAGAGAGGGACGGAACTGGCTGGGTCCACTAAAGCCTCTGTCTCTGGAGACACTCCCATCGATATTCTGGAGATCACCTGTCCAATTGACTGGGTCTTGCAGGAAAATGGGACCTGGTGCTGGCTTCTACTTCTATAGGTATATTTAGTTGCTGGGACCCTGAACTTGAGAGGGAAACGGACAGGGAGTAGGAGAGAGGGAGAGTCAGAAAGAGACAGAGGTCGGGGTGTTCCGCTGAACCCACCCAGGAGGGGCGCCGGGGGCTGGGGGCGGGAAGATGGCGGCCGTCGTCGCCCCGCCCTTCTCCTGCCAGTCCTTCCCTTGGTGCAGAATGTATAATACAGAATCTGCGGCTGGAGACATGCTTAGGAAAATAGACGCCTTCTGATGAGAAGACGCTCAACCACACGCACAAAAACATGCAGATGTAGGCTGCTTTCCGTTCTGAAAGTTGTTTTGGGGTCCAGCTCTACTCGCTTCCCTTTCTAATGATATTTGTCCCTCACGAGGCACCGTTGAGTCGTCCGGGAGGCGTGACGAGGGGCGGGAAGCGGGGCGGGAAGCGGGGCGGGAGCGGCGCTGTGAAGCTTGCGCTGCCGCTATTATGGATGCCTGGGTCCGCTTCAGTGCTCAGAGCCAGGCCCGGGAGCGGCTGTGTAGGTGCGGCTCGAATAAAAATGAAGGTGGGAAGGGAGGGCAGATGAAGACCCTTGTAAGGCGTGGTCCGTTCACCCTACGGGGTCAAAAAGGGTCAACTCGGGCTACGGGGGCCTGAACGGACCTTGAGGCACTGATTTGAGCATGAGATGATTCGTTTCTACTCACGGGAAGGATGGGGAAACTGAGGCACGAGAGGCCCAGCGGGGTGGACGCTCAGGGTTTAGGTGTCCACATAAGATCTACCCTTCTCTCACGGCGCGGTAGTGGAATGGGGATCGTTTGCTCCGTGGTGGATAGTGATCCCAGAGCTGAGGAGTTTTTCCAAGTTTCCTTGTACCTTTACCCTGTTGTCACCCGGGAACTCCTCTGCCTCCCTCCTGTCTTCTGGTGTCAGTTCAGCTCGAGGTCCTTAAACTCTCTTGGTTCACGTATTCTGAAGACGAATCTGCCCACCAACTATCCCCCAGCCCCTCACATATCAGAGATTTGCTCTCCCTGGTGTGCTTGTGATGACCACCTTCTGCCTTCACAGTCCTCTTCAGCCATCAGCATTGCCGAGTCTCTTATTTTCTCAACTCTTAAGTTGGCTCCTAACTCCCTCCTAGGCTCCTTTTTATTCCTATGCCTTTCCCTTACCCTGACTTGAAGAGAAACGGTGAGTTATGGACATGGAGAGGAGGAAAGGGAATGGTCTCAACCTGGAAAAAGGGAAGTCCATACTTGCCTTTTGGAGGACATTTTTGAGTGGGAGGTTAGGAAGGTCTCCACCTTACCCTACCTGTGTCCTTCCCTAGAGCTGCCCAGTACGCCTGCTCCCTTCTTGGCCACACGCTGCATAAAAGTGGGGCCAGTCCCGAGTTACAGAAACAGATTCGACAGCTGGAGGGTCATCTGAGCCTAGGAAGAAAGCGTAAGTAACTGTGCCTTTCCCTTTATTACCCCAACGCTTCCTCCATCCCTAGCTATTCTCCCTTACTCCCTCCATGTTTTTGACCTTCTCTACCAGTTCTCCTTTATTTGGCCCTGCATTTATCCCCTATGTGCCTCCCAATGGAGATAAAAGAACAGGAGCTAGAGAGTAATGAAAAATTGTAGAGAATGGGGCAAGTTTGAGAAAACTAAACCAGGAGACAAATTAAAATTTGAAGTGAAAAAGAATGAACTGTTACTGCTCTTTTTAAAAATTGTTATTTTTTTTCTACCACTTGCTCAACTTTCATTTGCTTGCTTTTTCTCTTCCTTTCTGTTTTGCTCTCTGTTTGCCTCTCTGCTTCCAAATCTTTCCTTTTCCCCTGCTGATCCCCACAAGTTCTACGGCTGGGTAACTCAGCAGATGCCCTTGAGTCAGCCAAACGAGCTGTGCACCTATCAGATGTTGTCCTAAGATTCTGCATCACTGTTAGTCACCTCAATCGAGCCTTGTACTTTGCCTGTGACAATGTCCTGTGGGCTGGAAGGTCTGGACTAGCTCCCGGTGTGGATCAGGAGAAGTGGGCCCAGCGTTCATTCAGGTTTGATACCCTTTTATTCTACAAGACCTTTTGTATTATACTGCATACTTGCGTTTTATAAGAGAAAGATTTCTCAGGGGCTTCACAGAATGTACACGTCTTAATCAATCAGTTGGCTTCCAATTTTTATTTAGATCTTAAACTATCAGAGAATAAGGGTTGGAGGCAGATGGAAGACAAACATTCTTCCATGATGAATGACTAAGATTGAGGAAGATATTATATGGCTTTAATTCTGCTTCTGTCTATACTATAGATTAGTGATATTCAACCTTTTTCATCTTATGGTGCACATAAACTAATTACTAAAGTTCTGCAGCACATGAAAAATACATTTTTGCTGATCTGGCCAAAAAAATAGGGATAATTCTGTCTGGTGAATACACCAGACAGCTATTGTTGTGTTGGCTGTTGTCATTTTTTTATTTGACAGTCTAAGGGAAGAGAGGTTAGTGCCCCTGACTAAATAGTTAGGTACTGCATGTTTTAAAAATTCTTGCGGCACACTGGTTGAAAATTGCTGCCGAGCCAAACAGACATGGTTCCTGCTCTCATGAAGCTTCTAGTCTAGTGGGGTAGTCATATATTAAAATAAATAAACACCAAACCACATGTTTGTGGGAAAGTACAGGGAGTTATGAGAGATGTAATAAGAGGAGCTAATTTAGATTGAAAAATCAGAAAAGAACTCTTTGAGAAAGTAATATTTTAGCTCAGACCTGAAGTTTGAATAGAAGTTAGATAAAGCAAATAGTAGCCAAAAGGCCTTCCCAAACAGAAAATAGCATGCTCGAAGACCTTAAACCAAAAAAGACTTTGAGGAATTAGGAAAATAGAAAGAAAGCCAATGTAATGGACAGGGTTGATGACAGGGGTCATATGATTCATGAAAGACCTTTTTAGGCAATGATAAGATATTTTGTTTAGTTTTTTTAAAAAATTTATTCTCAGTAAAATGGGTTCTGAGTAGGGATGGGACATAATTCAAAATTGTGTTTCAAGAAGACCTCTCATGCTGCAGTGTGGAAAATGGATTGATTGCAGTAGGCCAAAAGAGGAGGAGATGTCTTAATATGGCTAAGAAATGATGCTGGCTTCAACTAAGCATCTGGCTGGTAATGAAGGTGAAGAGGAATATGATTTGGGAATGAAATCATAGTATACATATCATCTATTTTATTTTATTTTTTGCTATGATTCTCTTTCTCCTTTTAGATTATATTAGTATCTTTCTATCTCCATTTATGTATTTTTTTTTTCATCTTTTTCAGTGATTTATAGCTAGAACATGTCATATGATGTATGAAGGCTGGGGACAGAGGCATGATTGATGTAGTATGAAAAAGCACCTACCTAGAAGAGTCTATATGCCATGTTTATTCATTTCATTCAACAAATATTTATCAAGCTTTTACTACACGCAGGCGACTGGTCTAGACACAGGGATACAGGGGTGAAGATAAATAAGGTCCCTGCCCCTATGGAGCTTACATTGTAATGGGAAGAGACAGACATAAAGAACAAATAAGAAAAATATCAGATAGTGGTAAATTCTATTCAGGAAATTAAAGTAGGGCATGTGCTAGAGAATAAATGGCTAGATACTTTAGAATGAGGGATCAGAGAAGGCCTCTCTGAAAAGGTGACATTTAAGCTCAGACCCAAAGAGGAAAAAAGAGCCAAACATGTAGATTTTAGAAGCAGAATATTCCAGGTAGAGGGATATGGTAGTTTAAAGGTCTTAAAGCAGGAACAAGCCTGATGGGATCAAAATATAGAAGGAAACATGGGTGGAGCATAGTAATTGAGGGAAAGATTTGTATAATGTCGAGTTAGAGAGGTAGGGTCAGGTGTTGAGGTCTGAAAGCCTGTCTGTCTAAGCCTGTGTGAGTTACCTAGATTTTATCAAATGTGACAGGAAGGAAACCATAAAGAGTTTTAAGAAGGAGAGTTTATGCCACATACTATGTGAGATTAGATTGTTGGGGGTGAGAGGCCAGAGTGGCCATGGACAAACAAGTTAAAAGACTAAAGTAGTATTTCCAGCAAGAGATGATGGTGGCTTATACTGTGGAGACAGAGTGTAACAGAGAGATGTGTTTAGATTCAGGATATGTTTTGGAGGTAGGACAATTATATTGAGTATAGACTACTGTTGCGAGGGTAGATTAAAAATCAAAAACATAGCCCCACCTGGTATAGCTCAGTAGATTGAGTGCCAGCCTGTGAACCAAAGGGTCCCTGGTTTGATTCCCAGTCAGGGCACAGCCTGGGTTTCGGGCCAGGTCCCCAGTATCAGATAGCGGGTGCATAAGAGGCAACCACACATTGATGCTCTCCTTCTCTTTCTCCCTCCCTTCCTCTCTCTCTAAAAAATAAAAATAAAATATATTTTTTTAAAAAATCAAAAACATAGACTGTTCTTAAGGAATTTGTAATTTAACACATTTGATAAGCTGCTTAACACCTCTGGGCTTCTTTTTTTTTTTTTAAACAAAAGTATTGAATTTTCCCTAACCAGTATGGCTCAGTTGGTCAGCCATTGTCCTGCAAAGCAAAAGACACTGGTTCCATTCCCAGTCAGGGTACATGCCTAGTTTGCAGGTTCAGTCCCCAGTTGGGTTGTGTGCAAAAGGCAACTGATTGATGTTTCTCTTTTTCTCTCCCTCTCTTTCTCCCTTCCCCTCTCTCTCTTTTTTCTTTTAAGATTTTATTTATTTTTTAGAGAGAGGAGAAGGGAGGGAGACAGAGAGGGAGAGAAACAGCAATGTGTGGTCGCCTCTCATTCACCCCATACTGGGGACCTGGCCTACAACCCAGGCATGTGTCCTGACTAGGGATCGAACTGGCGACCCTTTGCTTCAAATTCTGGCACTCAATTCACTGAGCCACACCAGCCAGGGCCCTTTTCCTCTCTCTTAAAGATAGATAGATAGATAGATAGATAGATAGATAGATAGATAATTTTTTAAAAGGTTGAATTTAAATTATCTATAATTTGACTTTTTGAAACAACTGAAGTTTGTTCTTTTAAAACAAGTTTATATTACCGTAATTCAAGTTGAATGTGTGTGTGCTGATGCATTGCCAAGTGAAATCTGAGGTTGATCTTGGGAGATTTGATGATGCTCATCAAATTTTAGGCCGGGATCTTAAGGTACATATAAATATGTTAGTTATAGAAAGGTTGAGGACATTTCTAATAGTGGGTACTAGCATTCACTTCTGATATTCTAATATGTAATCTTTCGCATTATGGAGCAAAAAATGTTTGAGTGTTCTATTGGATATGCTAAGTAGGTGTATGTGTCCTTACTGACCCTTTTGTCCTGTGTATCTCAGGTACTATCTGTTTTCACTCATCATGAATTTGAGCCGTGATGCTTATGAGATTCGCCTACTGATGGAACAAGAGTCTTCAGTTTATAGCCGGCGACAGAAGGGTTCTGGAGGGGGAGTCACAGGAGGAATTGAAACTTGGGGATCTGGGGTTCCAGGAACTCCAGGAGGAGGCCTGCCTCAACTGGCTCTGAAGCTTCAGTTCCAAGTCCTTCTCCTGGCTCGGGTCCTTCGGGGTCATCCTCCCCTTCTGCTGGATGTAGTCAGAAATGCCTGTGATCTCTTCATTCCACTGGACAAACTAGGCCTCTGGCACAGTGGCCCTGGCATTGTGGGGCTTTGTGGCCTCATATCCTCCATCCTGTCTATTCTCACCCTAATCTGTCCTTGGCTACGACTCAAGCCCTGATATTCTGGTAGGGGATAAGGAGGGAACTGAATTGGTAAGATAAATCTTAGATTGTCCCCATTGTACCAGACTCATCCTAACTCTCCTTGCTTAAAGTTAAAATTGAGAGATATAGGGGTAGAGGAAGGAGCTTTGGACAGGTTGAGGTGAAGAAAGCTTACTTGTGTAGTTAATAGTGTGATTCTAATGTTCAGGTCTGCTGGAGCGTTTGTTCTTTTCCTCCTTCATTGCGTTGTCTGTGTTTCTCTTGACTCTTTTTACTTTGTCTTTCTTAAATCTATTTAAGATTCTGTTCTGTATTTCAATCCCCTGTCCTAGGTATTTAATCAGCAGCAAAACTACTTTTTGGTAGGGGAGGTAAAAGGTATAGTCTATAAGATTCTAATAGCCTTCTTTTCCTCACAAAGGTGGCTTGTGGCAGATTTTACTCCCCTCAGACTACAAATTATATAATTTTAAAGATTTTATATCCTGGTGGACTCTTCCCTCATGCACTAGAAGTGGTATGATGCTCTTCCTCATGTCTACCTTACCAACATCCCTCATGACTTGGCCCTTACCCTTCCCTCTATTCACATCTGCAGATTTCTGCTTACATTTGATTTCAGAACTTTGTTCATAGTCTGTTCTTACCTCTTTTTTGCCTATCTAGAATGATGCCATGTCTAACATCTTGCTGTAAATATTGTACAGTAATTCCGTGTAAATAGTTAGGACCCATGCCCACAATGAAGAGCAAGCCTTCTAGGTCAGCAAATTAAAGATCAGTTTGTTCATTGATATTTGGTCTGGTCCTATGTGTTCTTGTCACCTGAGGCCCCTGTTTCTGTCACAGTGGTTTGGATTTTCCATGGAATTAGCCACTACATCATCACCCACATACTTTTACTGAGCACCTAAACTATGCAGGGCATAATACTAGGTGGTAGAGATACAAAAAGCTTAATTCCACGGTCTCAACATTAGACATTTATAGCCTAGTTGAGAAGATCAAAGTCTAATGTTAAAGTAATTATACTGCTTCCACAAATCACATCCCATACCAGTTCACAGTTTATAGTCCCTCCAAAAACTGTAATGCCACAAGGCAAAACAGGCTAAGAGTCACAAACAGAACAAAATGGAGTGGGCTGGTAAGGCTTAGTTTGTGGGTTGGCTATGTCATCACATGTTGGGACTCCCCTTGGTGGGCGGGGAAATCAAACCACTGTTTTTCTAATTCTTTTATTTTTCATGCCTCAAGTTGGGATAAATAAGGTTAGGTAGTAAAAAACTATCTCCCATTCCTACTTTCTATTCCAAACCCAAAGAAAGGATTATTGCCTGGAAACAAAGAATATGAGAGAGAGAGCACAAGCGCGCAGAAATTCTCTATAATTGTGTTCTCTTTGAATATGGAGATGATACCTCCAGAGGGCAGCACCGAGGCAGAGAACTAGACTAAGATCCCTCAGTCTGTTTCCTCTGGGGTTTCCCAGTTTCCAAACATCGCTCCTCCTATTCCTTCCAACTTTATTTTTAGCTGGCAGTGGGAGGGGGCAGGATGGGAAGGAAACTAAAGGAAACAGAAAGGAGAGGAACACAGGCACAGAGGACTTCTCACTCGGACATGAAACAACCTGGCATGGAGCTGCCCCTCATCCCTCACCTGTTCTTGACCCTGATGTTCCTGACAGGTGAGGGAGGTTAACTTCTTGGTTTCTGATGGATTGTTTGGTATTTGGGACTTCAGGGTTAAAATTCCTTGGGAGTTAGGGTGAGAGACGAACACTGATTCTCCATTGCTAGTGTGTTTGTGTCTGTATGCATGAGTGTTTGCATTCTTATGCCCACAATATATGACTGCTTCAGTATTGAGACTGTCAGAGTCTTGTGTAAGATTTGTGTCCAATTATCTAAAACCTATGTTCTAAGTCCTGGAGAAGTGAGGGAACCAAAAAGAAGCATGATGTGATCTTCCATGTGGCTAAACTGATTCCTTTTATACCCCTCCCTACCTCTCCCTATTCTTGGTGGTCTCTGGTGCCTGAGGCATAACTGACTACCTTTGTGGTCAGAACTCTGGGTTTATCTAACCAATAAGCTACAGTTCCTAGTCATATAACCCTGCCAATTTCCTGGAGGCAAAAAGGCCTCTTTAAAACACCTCTTTAAAAATGAGCATGGTTTGACACAGAGCTATAGCCATTGGTGGTAGTGGTAGTGGGGTGGCCTAATTGGGGAATGCTTGAAAGGAAGGAACAAGACACAGGGAACGAACCATGGGAGAGACCAGAGGCCTGGGATTTTTCCTCACCAGTGCCCTGTAATCTTCGTTTCCTAAAATACCAGCTCTGATTTTAAAGGGATAGGAAGGGAGAATTAGCAAGGACATAATTGGGGGGTCTTTAGAATGGGTTGGGAGTTAAGGAAGAGATGCTGGTAGGCAGGGGGCAGCTGGGAGGATGGGTGAGTTTAGAAAGGAAGCTAGTTGTGGGAAACTTTAGGGTGAAGGGACCCTTACTAAGGATGAATAGCAAACCATGTGTGTGGGCAGGCGAGTGACCCCACCCAGTTAATTACCACTGAGGTTTTCAGGGCTGGAATCAACCAGAGACCTAGACATTGGAGAATCAGAGTGAACGTGTAACAATGACACTGGGAATCAAGAAGAGAAAGAAAAAAAGGAGACCCAGACATTCAGTGTTCTTCATCTCCTCCTGTTCTCCCTGTGGTCCTGATTTTGGAGAGAATTTGAAAGGAATACTTGTTCTGGGGCTGCAGATAGACTCTCTGCCTCGTCTGACCCTCACAGCTTGGGGAGGAGGATGTGTAGTAGGAATGATGTAGAAAAGAGGAACTTGACCCAGACATGTCTGTAATTGAGATTTCAGGGATTGAAATGGAAATTCAGCTGTGCACTCGCATGGCAGAGGGCCACAGGTTAGATAGCTGAACCCAAATACAAAAAGATCATCCTTGCTTGGAGCTCTGAGTACATGACATTGACAGGTCAGGACAGCTTATGAGTAATAACGGAGAGAGACAGACTATCAAAATATTTCCTTCACAACTTCTCTCTGGTTGTGCCCCTCTGGGCATTCATTAGCCTCTCTGACTGTTTCCTGCTAATCTTATGATCCTGGTCCCTTAGGTCTCTGCTCCCCCTTTAACCTGGATGTGCATCACCCACGCCTATTCCCAGGGCCATCCGAGGCTGAATTTGGATACAGTGTCTTACAACATGTTGGGGGTGGACAGCGATGGTGAGGAGGAACCCAGAGGGTCATGGGACTGGGACTCTGACAGAGCTGTTAAAGGGGAAGCAAGATAGATGGGAATCTAAACTAATCTGGTCCTTTGGAAGTGGCTGGGGCTCTAGATTTGCCACTCCCATGCACTTTCCCTCTGGCCTATCTCAAAGGTCAAGTTCACACTATGCTTATATTCATGTCCTCCCCCAGGATGCTGGTGGGTGCTCCCTGGGATGGGCCTTCAGGTGACCGAAGGGGAGATGTTTACCACTGCCCTGTAGAGGGCTCCCACAATGCCCCATGTGCCAAGGGCCACTTGGGTAAGAAGATGCCTCATTCTTCCACTCCTAACCCCTAACCTTTATATGCTAGTAACTTTGACCCCTTATACCTCACGTTAACCACCCCCATCCCACATACTCCCTGCCCCTGACTTAATTCTGATCTCTTCTCATACTCTTTTAAAATCACCCTGAATTCAAGCAAACCATCTGTGATTCCATGATTTCATTTTCTTCCACCCCCCTCCAATCAGGTGACTATCGACTGGGAAATTCATCTCATCCTGCTGTGAATATGCACTTGGGGATGTCTCTATTAGAGACAGATGGTGATGGAGGATTTATGGTGAGCTAAGGAAAGGGTGGTAGCAGAGTCTCTGAAGTTTTGTGGCAGAGAAAAGAGCAGTATGTTAAGGGAAACTGGTCTACGTGGAGGGGTCAAGGAGTTAAAAACCCTAGAAAGTAAGGAGAGGAATCTTGAGGAGTGGCTCTCAATGCCTCTTTCTACTAGGAGCATGATCTGAAGGTTCCCTGTCAACCCAGAAGTAACTATGCTCCCCACCTATCCCCAGGCCTGTGCCCCTCTCTGGTCTCGTGCTTGCGGTTCCTCTGTCTTCAGTTCTGGGATATGTGCTCATGTAGATGCTTCATTCCAGCCCCAGGGAAGCCTGGCACCCACTGCACAACGTAAGCCAGAAGAAGGGCCTGAAAATTCAGTCCTCAGAATGGGGTGCAGGGTGGGAAAAAGATGGGGCATCAGGGTATAATGCTTGACAGGAGGTCTGAATGGCTGTCCTCATTGCTGCCTGATGTACCTGCATAAGCTCCATGTTTCCTAACAGATTAAAATTCAGACTCAGCCAGGGCATTAAGACTCCATGAACTGATCACACCAACTTCAAAAACTCAATTCTCACTATATCCCTCCACACCCTAGGCTACAGCATTTGCTTCACCATTCTCCAATGTGTCATCTATTTTATACCTTCATCTCCTTTTATTTACCAAGTTATCCACCAAAAAGCCTTTTCTTATGTTCTATTTTTTTCAAATATCTTCATTCTTCAATATCTTCTCAGTTGCTGCCTCCTTTGATTGCTCACCAGTGGAACTGACCTTTTGATCTCCCACAGCATAGAGTGGTACTATGTTTCTACCTAGTGCTTAGTTCTTTATTTATTGTTTTTTAGTAAATTGCATGTATGTCCATCTCCTCTTTTATTCAATTCTACATTTACCAGGGGCCTAGCATACTACCTTCCTTGCATGTCAGAAGTGCCTAATGTTTAAGTTGAGTGTGCCCTCTTGTGACTTCTTCTCTTATTGCCTTCATGTTCAATATCCTGTACCCCTCTGCTCTCCATCATCATACCCCTCTTCCTAGGCTGCCCTACATACATGGATGTTGTCATTGTCTTGGATGGCTCCAACAGCATCTACCCCTGGTCTGAAGTTCAGACTTTCCTACAAAGACTGGTAGGAAGACTGTTTATTGACCCAGAGCAGGTACAGGTAAGAGAAGGCAGTAAGGATGGGCTTGGAGGGGAGAGACCTGTCTCCCTCTCCTTCTCTCTCTTCCCTCTCTCTCTAGAATCAATGAACAGATCCTCGGGTGAGGATTACAGAAACTTTTTTTTTTGATGTAGATAGTATCTTCAGTAGCATCCAGATGCTCATCTACTCTTCCTCACATACCTTCTCCATCTCCACCTTCATATACACATTTCATTTGACTATACACTTTATTCTCAGGTGGGCCTGATACAGTATGGTGAGAGCCCTGTACATGAGTGGTCCCTGGGAGATTTCCAAACCAAGGAAGAAGTGGTGAGAGCAGCAAGAAACCTGAGTCGGCGGGAGGGCCGAGAAACAAGAACGTCTCAAGCAGTAATGGTGGCCTGGTGAGGCACTGGGAAGGGGGCACATGGGAGGCTAGAGTGAGGAGGGCCTGGAAGGGTTAGGGTAGGATTTGGAGTGCAGGGTGTACTTCTCAAGATGCCTTGCATGTTTACCTGTGTGAACACTAATGGTAGATGGGGGAAAGCTAAATTGGCTGTCATTGCACTCCCTCTTATCACATTTCTACAAAATATATATGTCTTTATCTCTCCATATTTCTGCTTTATTTCTCTGCAGACATAACTAACTCTCTCTCTCTCTCGTTCCATTCCCACTTTGATCTTGGCCCTCAGATTCTGTACCACTCATGTCCCAGCTCATTTTCCAAAAATGATTTAAACTCATTCTAGGGAAAACTATCCTGACCTGACTATTCTTCTTTATTGTACATCCCCTTAATATTTGTCCTCCCAAATATACTATTTGCTAAATTAATCTAGGAATAAATAAATGAATTTTATACTTATTTGCATTGATGATATGCTGCTCTATATGTTCTAAGCCATTCAATCATTTGAGCTCTTACTGTGTGCCAGTCTCCATGCTAGATGCTGTAGGGGAGATAGTCTAAAAGGCAAGGTGCCTAACCTTGGTGAACTGTTTATGCTGTCAGGTCATGTGCATGTGTATCTGTGTATCTGATCACAACTCCTTTCTCTTCTCAGCACAGAAGGATTCAGTCAGTTCCATGGGGGCCGACCTGAGGCTGCCAGGCTACTGGTGGTTGTCACTGATGGAGAATCACATGATGGAGAGGAGCTTCCTGCAGCACTGAAAGTCTGTGAGGCTAGAAGAGTGACACGCTATGGGATTGCGGTAAGATTTGGAAGATCTGGAAAAATCGAGGGTGTGGGGATGGTGACAGTGAGGACTGGGAACTTGAGAAAAATGAGCATGAGCCACTTCCCAGATATCAGCCATATTTCCCTTCATTCATTTTAGTTAGCTGTGTTCTGTACCAGCTCTAACATGTCACTCCACACAACTGACAGACTCTGCCTTGATCTCTCCTGACCCCAGGTCCTTGGTCACTACCTCCGGCGGCAGCGAGATCCTAGCTCTTTCCTACGGGAAATCCGAGCTATTGCCAGTGATCCGGATGAAAGATTCTTTTTCAATGTCACAGATGAAGCTGCGCTGACTGACATTGTGGACGCATTAGGAGACCGGATTTTTGGCCTTGAGGGTAATGATTACCCTTGAAGAAATGGAGGACAGGGTAGGGGGAGTTCTGGAGTGTAGGTGGGGTTTTGAAATAAGTTCAGTAGGGCAAAGGAGGGAACTGTCTTCCCTGATATTGCCTCAATATTTTCTCATGCTCAAGGGTCTCATGAAGAAAATGAAAGCTCCTTTGGTCTGGAAATGTCTCAGATTGGTTTCTCTACCCATCGGCTAAAGGTTGGAGAGTCTGTCCCCTCCATGACACCCTGAACTTCTGACTCCTTTCAACCTCTGGAAAAGACAACTTCCACCCCAGGGCTTTTCTATATTCCTTCTTTAACCAATGTCCATCCTGACCTGCTCATGTCCTTCAAACTGACTCCAGTATACCCTCAGTGACCCTGTCGCTCCTGGAGAGTTTTTTTCTTATTCCCCACTGTCTTTCCAGTGACCCTATCTGATTCTTCTCTACAGGATGGGATTCTCTTTGGGATGGTGGGGGCCTATGACTGGGCAGGCTCGGTGTTATTATGGCTTGAAGAAGGTTACCGCCTTTTCCCCCCACGGACGGCCCTAGAAGATGAGTTCCCCTCTGCATTGCAGAACCATGCAGCCTACCTGGGTGAGTAGTAGAGAGTTGTGGAGGATTGGAAGTTAGGAGAATGCTTCCCCAGTGTGAGGTATGAGGTATTTCTTCTTAGTTTATGCAGTTTCTCACTGATCTCCTGCTACTCTCCTTGAGACCTTTTCCTATGCCTTTAGGGAACCTTCGCACTCTGACCCCATCTCCTTTTCCTTTCACCCCTGATTCCTTGTCCATTTGTAGGTTACTCTGTTTCCTCCATGCTTTTGCGGGGTGGACAACGCCTCTTTCTCTCAGGGGCCCCTCGGTTTAGACATCGAGGAAAGGTCATCGCCTTCCAGCTTAAGAAAGATGGGGCCATGAAGGTCGCCCAGAGCCTCCAGGGGGAGCAGGTAGGCAATGGAGGGTGGGACCCTTGGGTTCCAAGGGAAATTTAGCCTGTAGGGGAAGAGAATAAAGGCACAAGAGAAAGGCCTGAAAAGTCTGTGCTGAGTTCTGGTTGGCAGAGCCTGTTAGGGCTGTGAGGACCAGACTGACAGGATGATGGGTGCTTACCACTTGTTTATAATCACCTTCCTTTTTCTCTGGGATACCTACTCCCCAACACTCCTAGATTGGCTCATACTTTGGCAGTGAACTCTGCCCATTGGATATGGATGGGGATGGAACAACTGATGTCTTACTTGTGGCTGCTCCCATGTTTCTGGGACCCCAGAACAAGGAGACAGGACGTGTTTATGTTTATCTGGTGGGCCAGGTGAGGCTTGCTGGGATCCTCCAGAACATGTTTGTAGGGGGTGGAGGGAAGGATAAAGGGAAGGCACATACATTTGAGGGCTGGCTGAGAGGTTGGGACTATCAGAACAGCATCTCTCTTCTCCTCACCTCCACCAGCAGTCCTTGCTAACACTCCAGGGAATGCTTCAGCCAGAACCCTCCCAGGATGCTCGATTTGGCTTTGCCATGGGTGCCCTTCCTGATCTGAACCAAGATGGTTTTGCTGATGTGGCTGTAGGGGCACCCCTGGAGGATGGGCACCATGGAGCACTGTATCTATATCATGGGACCCAGAGTGGAGTCAGGCCCTATCCTGCTCAGGTCAGGAGTGCCCAAAGCAGGGGCTTGTTGGGAGGAAGGGAAAGGGAGATGTATTCTTTGCTTATCAATGCTCTCCTAACTTGACTCAAACTGAACAAATGCTTTTTTTTTATCAATACAGAATTCCCCTCCTTACCCATAGGGGATACATTCCAAGACCCCCAGAAGATGCCTGAGACTACAGATAGTACCAAACTTTATATATACTATGTTATATGTTTGTTCCTATACCTCCATACCTGTGATAAAATTTAATTTATAAATTAGGCACAGTAAGAGATTAACAACAACAATAATAAAATAGAATAATTATAATAATATACTATAATAAAAGTGATGTGAATGTGGCATCATTAAATTAAATAAGGGTTACTTGAACACAGCAGTGTGATACCTCAACTGTTGGTCTGATAGCTAAGACAGTTAAGTGACTAATAGCAGGTAGCATATACAGTGTGGATACATTGGACAAAGGAATGATTCATGTCCCGAGTGGGACGGAGTGGGATGGCTTAAGATTCCATCCACTACTCAGAATGACATACACTTTAAAACTTATGAATTGATCATTTCTGGAATTTTTTGTTAAATATTTTTAGACCATGGGTGACTATAGGAAACAGCAGAAAGTGAAACCATGGATAAGAGGGCAAATACTGGGTTAAAAGGTGAGGTGGTGGGGTAGGATACAGGTTGCTATACTAGGGACTCCTGAACACAGACAAGTTTCTCTTATTCCTTCCCATGTCTGATGAAAGAATTAAGAGCCAGGTGGGAAGCCTGGGAAACCAGGTGTGTGAGTCTCTGCTCAGGCTGCCCTCTCTTCCTTTCAGCGGATTGCTGCTATCTCCATGCCACAGGCCCTCAGCTACTTTGGTCGAAGTGTGGATGGCCGGTTAGATCTGGATGGAGATGACCTGATAGATGTGGCTGTGGGTGCCCAAGGGGCAGCTGTCCTGCTCAGGTGAATGGTCCCATCTCAAGTAACAGTGAAAAGCAAAAGCATAGCTGTTAAAAGCAAGGGATTTGGAGTCACAGGCTTAGATTTGGAATTCTTGGTCAACTTAATCTCTGTCTCCATTTCCTACTTTTTAAAATGGGAATAAGAATAGTACCTACCTTATAGGCTTATTATGAAGATTAAATGAGATAATTCATGTAAAGGTCTTAACACAGTACCTAGCACATAGCAAGTAGTTATTTAATGTTAGCTATTATCTTCTGTCAGAAGGTTATGGTGAGGGTGACACATGTACACTTAGCCGTCATTCCTTCCTTTCACCTCAAGGAGGCAAACACTGGGAAGTACCTTTCTCAAGACCTTTCTTCCTACTGCTAGAATTTCTTTCCTACCCTGTTCCTAGCTCCCAGCCCATTGTTCACCTGGCTCCTTCATTGGCTGTGACTCCTCCAGCCATCAGTGTGGTTCAGAGAGACTGCATACGTAGAGGCCAGAAGGCAGCCTGCCTCTCTGCAGCCCTTTGCTTCCAAGTGACCTCCCGTACTTCTGGCCACTGGGATCACCGATTCTGTGAGTGATTACAGTGGATCCTAGACAACTCTCAACCCCTTGCCTGACTTGGTCTCTGGATCTTCTTCACCCTTATTCTTGCCTGCCCCATTCAGATATACAGTTCACAGCACTACTGGATGAGTGGACAGCTGGGGCCCGTGCAGCGTTTGATGGCTCTGGCCAGAGGCTGTCCCCTAAGCGACTCCAGCTCAATGTGGGAAATGTCACTTGTGAGCAGCTGTACTTCTATGTGCTGGTGAGGAGGGAATAGGAACTGCTTTGTATCAGGGCCTGGGAGTGAGGGGATGGCTGTATCAGAGGAGGAATCTATGCTGGATTTTTGGAAATCCAGACTTTGGAGTCAGGCTGATTTGGGTTTGAATCCTAATTCTGCCATTTACCATCTGCACAATCTGGAAAGTCACATAAACTGCAAACCACAGTTTCTTTGCCTGCAAAGGCAGAGGACAATAATAATAACTGCATGGTAGAAGTTCTGTTAGAAGTAAATGTGATAGTATTAATAAAATCTTAGGACAGTGCCCAGCACACAGAAAGTGAAAGAAAGGAAGAAAGAGAGAAAGAGAGAAAGAAAGAAAGAAAGAAAGAAAGAAAGAAAGAAAGAAAGAAAGAGAAAGAAAGAGAAAGAAAGAAAGGAAGAAAGAAAGAAAGAAAAGAAAGAGAAGTACTTAGTAAATGATCATTGTAATGATCACATTCTGCCAGGGGCCTGGGTTGTACCACTCACCCTGGCTCCCCATGATCCTTGACTCTGGTTTCCCTTAGGACACATCAGATTACCTCCGGCCAGTAGCCTTGACTGTGACCTTTGCTTTGGACAACACCACAAAGCCAGGGCCTGTGCTGGATGAGGGTTCACCCACCTCTATACAAAAGCTGGTCAGCAGTGCCAAGTCCTGCCCTGCCCCTGGATCCCAACACTGCCCTTTTCAGTGAATTCAAGAGAAATGGGAGGGAAGAGACCTGAGATCACAGTGAAATCTGACCCGGGCACTCACTCTTCTCTTTACTTTTCTCCCAGTTGCATTCCTTTCTCCTTGCTTCCTCTCTCCTTCAGGTCCCCTTCTCAAAGGACTGTGGCCCTGACAATGAATGTGTCACAGACCTGGTACTTCAAGCTAACATGGACATCAGAGGCTCCAGGTAGGATGGGCATGAACTGGCCAAACCAGGGTGAACTGAGCCAGACTGGAAGGGACTAGAATGAAGCTAGAAGTTGTTCTTTGCCCAGGACAATAGAAGTGAGGCTTGTCATTCCTTCAACTCCTGAGTTCTCCCTTATCCACCACTCCTAGGAAGGACCCATTTGTGGTTCAAGGTGGTCAGCAGAAAGTACTGGTGTCAGCAACTCTGGAGAACAAGAAGGAAAATGCCTACAACACTAGCCTGAGCCTCACCTTCTCTAGAAACCTCCACTTAGCCAGTTTCACTCCTCAGGTACCACTGGGGGAAGGGTTTTGGGAGGAGTTGGAGAAGAAGGAGGAAGAAGACTGGGGTATTATCCTTAGCTATAAGGGATCTCTAGAGAAAGGCTCAGGGTTTAGAAGCTTCGGGCAGGAAAGCAGTTGCAGTCCCAGCTCCAGCCACTGCCCCTATTTCTCTGCTCTCAGAAGGACAGGCCAATGAAGGTGGAATGCACAGCCCCTTCCCCTCATGCCCGGCTCTGCAATATAGGACACCCTGTCTTTCAGACTGGAGCCAAGGTAAGTTGGGGCCCAGGATGAGAAAGGAGCTCTATGAGAGAGCAGGGGCTGGAATCTCTAAGCTCTACCAGAGAGCTTAGAGAAGGAGGCACACAAGGGCTCCTGTTCCCTTGTAGTTGTCCCATGAATAAGAATCTACCATGACCCCATTTCCCCTGCCTCCAGGTGACCTTTCTGCTAGAATTTGAATTTAGCTGCTCCTCCCTCCTGAGCCAGGCTTTTGTGAAGCTGACTGCCACCAGGTGAGAACAATGGGAACTCCCTCCTAGCCCTCTCCTACTGGGTCTTGGTTGTTGTGGTGGTATGTGTGTTGGGGGAGGAGGGAATATATAGCATTGACTCCTCTACTCCAGAAAGGGGTATCTGAGACAGCCTCTCTCCCATGACCCTACAGTAATAGCTTAGAGAGAAATGGAACCCTTCAAGATAACACAGCCCAGACCTCAGCCTACATCCAATATGAACCTCACCTCCTCTTTTCTAGGTATGTCTCTATCCTCCTTTGGGACTTCCCCACCCTTTTCTGACCCCAAACACATACTCTTTGCTTCCACCTCTCCCTCCACGTCCTTCATTGTTTCCCAAACCCAAACCCTTGGGGCTGCTCCATCTTTTTGCCCTCAGTCCCAGTCCCACTCACATGAAACCTCATTTAACCATCTTACTTTCTTCCTAGGTATAGGGCTTTGCTGGGCTCTAAGGATTGGAGTGGGGATAAGGCATGTGGGATGTGGCCATAAAGTTTGTTAATTTGTGCCATGTCCCATTTCTATCTTCTCTATGTACCCCCATCTCTTTATCTGTGTGCTGGCTCAGCCTTCCCTGAATCTGTAGAGTCTGGCAGAAATAATGCCTGCTTGAGTGTGGTTGGTAGGGAAATAATGTGAGTATAATTATTTATAGTTTTAATTTGAACATTTCACCTAAAATATCATATGGTGTGCTTGAATGTGATATTGTGTTACAGAATTACATGCTTAGAATTTTGTAATTTAAAAGGGGCATTATTTGTGCCAGACCCTGTATATATGTATGCTGACCATGTGCCTCTTTGTCTGTGCCATGGCTGTGATCATGTACTTCCTGACTTGGTGTTCATGAAGTGAGTCCAGTCTGCACCGCTATGAGGTTCACCCATATGGGACTCTGCCAGTGGGTCCTGGCCCCGAATTCAAAACCACTCTTAGGGTGAGAAGCTGGATGGGCCTTGGTATGAGCAGGGGGAGGGGGAGGAGTCCTGGGGAAAGAACAGTAAGAGTCTTTCTTATATTTCAATAGTATCTGGGATAAAGGGGAACAGATGAGGGAGGGGCTTCTGTCTCCTGCCTCCTGCCTCTTCCCATTTCCAATTCTCCCATCAGGTGCAGAACCTTGGCTGCTATGTGGTCAGTGGCCTCATCATTTCAGCCTTCCTTCCAGCTGTGGCCCATGGGGGCAATTACTTCCTGTCACTGTCTCAAGTCATCTTTAACAACGTGAGTCTGGGCTAGGGATATGTAGAGCCTTCTTACCTCAATCTGGTGGACTCACCAGTACCTTATCTGCTGGGTCACTGCTCTTAGGGCCCCTCCCCCAAGGGGACCTTTCTTTTACATATGTGGCTCTTTGAGAAGAAAGTCATTATTACCCCATCACAAGAGTATGGACAGTATGCTGTTGCTGAGCCTGGAGTAGCTGGAGGTACTCACCATCAAGGAGTGTTTGAAGTTTGATCTTCCTCTAGGCAAGCTGCACAGTGCAGAACCTGACTGAGCCCCCAGGGCCCCCTGTACATCCAGAGGAGCTTCAGCACACAAGCAAACTGGTATGAGTCACAACAATGTGAAAAATGTGTCCAGAATGGGAAAGTAGAGTTTAGAGCCTTGGGATTGGGGGTAGAGCCTGAAGTGGTAAATGGGGGAATCTTTCCACCCCAGGTCCTGATCTGTCTGTCTCTCTCTTCTGGTAGAATGGGAGCAATACTCAGTGTCAGGTCGTGAGGTGCCACCTTGGGCGGCTCGCAAAGGGGACCGAGGTCTCTGTTGGACTACTGAGACTGGTTCACAATGAATTTTTCCAGAGGGTAAACTTTTTATTTTCTACTACTCTTACCTTCTGCTTTTATCTGGAACTTGAGAATAGGCTTTGGAGGTAAACAGACCTGTGTTCAAGTTCCACTGTGCCTCTTACTAGACTATTGGACCTTGAGCAACTTATTTCATCTTTCTAAGCTTCTTTCTTCTTATCTCAAAAATGGAAATGATAATACCTACTTTAAGGAGTTGTAAAGAATAAGTGAGTCCTAGCTGGTGTAACTCAGTGGACTGAGCGTGGACCTGCAAACCAAAGGGTCACCCAGGGTTTGATTCCCAGTCAGGGCACACTCCTGGGTTGTGGGCCAGGTCGCCAGTAGTGGGTGCATGAGAGGCAACCACACATTGGTGTTTCTGTCCCTCTCTTCCTCCTTCCCTACCCCTCTATCTAAAAATAAATAAATAAAATCTTTTAAAAAAAGAATAAACGATTAATGAGATGGATTCATTAAAAGCTAGCTATTATCCTCCATTTATCATCCCTTAGTGCTATACCAATAATCAATCAACATTGATAGGATACCTAGATTCAGTCAGTTAGTAATCCATCAAGTGCCTACTATATAGAAGGTCCTGTACAGACACTAAGGAGAATATCCCCAACATTGAGCACCATGCCTAACTCATCATAGTGACTTAGTACATTTTTGTTAAGTGAATGAATGGTTGATACTATATGCAGTATATATTGGGGTGGCCAGAAGTAAGATTATATAGTTGAGAGGGATCTACATTATGAAAGTTCTCTAAAGCTAGGGAGATAAAATTGAACTTAATATGATTGGCAATTAGGAGTCATTGTGAATTCCTGAGCAGGGAAATGGCATCTTAATTATAACAGTTGCATTTAGTGCTAGGGGTTACTGTATATCTGCATATACCATCTACTTTGAATAACACAATATCTCTAGGATACAGGCATATGTTTTAGGGAAGTAAACTCCGATAGTTCATTTCTCTCTAAGTTTGCTTATCTCCTTGGTATACTGTTTTTCATTCATTTATCTATTAATAAAGATTTACTGAGAAACCACTAGGTATTTGGCACTGTGCTAGGTACTAGACACTAAGGACACATAATAAGACATAGTCCTTGACCTCAATGATCTTATAATTCAGTGGTGAAAGATAGAAAAGTTAAACAGAATATTATAACCTTATCAGAGGTAGTGGGGGTTAGGAGGAAACATTTTCCTAATTCCCAGAAGAGATAACATCTAAACTCCAACCTTGCCCTGGCTGGTGTGGCTCAGTGGATTGAGCATCAGCCTGCAAACCAAAGGGTCACCAGTTTGATTCCCAGCCAGGGCACATGCCTGGGTTGCAGGCCAGGCCCCCAGTGAAGTGGTGCATGAGAGGCAACCACACATTGATATTTCTCTCCTTCTCTTCCTCCCTTCCCCTCACTCTAAAAATAAATAAAATCTAAAAACAAACAAACAAACAAACAAACAAACAAACTTCAACCTAAAGGAGGGGTAGGGGTTAGCAAAAGAAAAGGAAGTTGAATAAATTTTAGGTAGAGCCAACAGCACAATGAAGGGCTGGTGGCTTTTCGTCTTTTACCCTTCTTCTCTTTTCCCCTTGATCTCCAACCTTTTCTTCTCATCTTGATGGTCCTGAAAGTGTGTCTCTCAGCCTCATCTTTGCTGTTGGGGTTTTAATTGCCACACTACTTGATGATGGCTCACTTTAAATGTCTTCATATCCACTTGTTCCACAGGCCAAATTCAAGTCTCTGACAGTGGTTAGCACCTTTGAGTTGGGAACTGAGGAGAACAGTGTCCTACTGCTAACTGAAGCTTCCCGATGGAGTGAGGTGGGGCTGGAGGATGACTTTGAGAGCTGTGAAAAGTAAGGGTGGGGATGGGGTAAGGACACCTGTGGGCTTTTTTGCAGAACAGAAATGTATTAGGCAGCAATCAGGGAGTCAGAAGTGATAAATCAGAATGCTAGGGTCCCAGGGGATAAATGGTAATGGAAAAAATACAATAAAAAATGAACTATTAGAAAAAAAGAATGCTAGCATCTCATTGCCTCCATTCCTGCCTTAGTTTCATTCCTTTTAGTCTTCTATTTTGAGGCTGGCTTTGCTACAATGTGGGATGAGGCTAGCTGGGTGAAAGGGCGCAGGTAAAAAACAATTTTCCCTCTATAGAGCCTCCTGGAAGTGATTCAGACCCGACCTGTCCTTATCTCCCTGTGGATCCTTACTGGCAGTGTCCTGGGAGGGCTGCTGCTGCTTGCTTGTCTTGTCTTCTGCCTTTGGAAGGTAAGCATGGCTGGCTTTAGTTAGAAGTATGGGGCATGGTGCCCATGAGTTAAGGGGTCCTTGATTATAGCAGGGAAAACAGAGTTTGTGCCCGGTGTCATGCCTGGATCTCCTTTTCTGTACTCTACAAATATTGGTTGAATTAAACTAAGCCTGCAAACCAAGTTTAATTAAACAAATAAAATAAATTCGAACCTCATGTTTGGAAGCAGAACAAAACTGAAAACCTCAGATATGTTTGAGAGCCATTGGCAAGGTCCCCAGGCAGGGCATTTGACAATAACTCTTATCTCTTCCCCTATAGCTTGGCTTCTTTGACCGCAAGAAGATTCCCAAGGAAGAAAAAAGAGAAGAGAAATTAGAGCAATGAATGCAGAATAAAGTCTGAGAAAGTCTTCCCTGGAAGCCTGTCCAAAAGACTTGCAAAAAAGTGGAGGGTTGGGGACTCAGAGGGGACAACAATAAGCCTCTGGACTATCTCCCCAGACCTGAACCCTGGCTGGACTTTTGAGTCATGAGGAAGCTGCTGGCAAGAGATAAGGCCTTACCTCAGGCAAGAAGGGCTAGCACCCAAACTAGGAACACTCTCACTGTTGCTTTACTCCTCATGATCCTGGTTCCACAGCCAACACTGAGGCCTTTTTCCCTATCCTCAGGAATCAAGAATTTTTTGTCTAGGTCCCTGACTCCTTTCAGATTCCCTCCACATCCCTCCTCACAATTTGAAAAGGATGAGGGTTATCTTCTTCTATTCCCTGCCTTTCACCTTCCTGCCTGCTCCTCACTCCACTGGAGGGAGTTGATGCTGGCTTGAAAGAAGTAAAATCAACATCTGCTGCTTTCCTCTGGAGTCTGGCCTCTCAGAAAGCCAGTTGGGGAGAGTCAACAGGAAAAGAGGAGGGAGCAGGAAAAGCCACAAGAGACATTCTGTATAATTCCAAGAAACAGAGAGACCTTTACACAAGCAAATACCGCCCCCCGAAACCTGAGACTTCATGGCGCACTAGTCCGCCCTCAGGTGCTGGTGAAACAAAGTGCCTCTGGCCTGCTGGGTATGGGTTTCCCAACTCCCACCATTCCCCGGGAGCAAAGCAAGGTCCCTGATTCTCTGGAGCCAGGGGCCTCCAGGTGGCTAGAGCTGGAATAGCAGAGAAGACTATACCTCAGCAGTATTTTCTCCTCTCCTGCCTCAGACACTCTTGAGCTCTCTATAAACTAGAGAAGGGAAATGAGTGTTGTTTGATGGTGGAAAACCCTTTCACCTTTTCAGCTTTGGGAAGCAGCCATGAAGTCTGAATGAATGGGGTCTGCATTAAGGAGGAAGCTGAAGTGAGTAGCCAGAGATCTCTGGGGAGCAAGCTTTTCCTTGTCCAGCACTGTTTGATTAGCACAAAATGCTCCTAGGAAAATGTTTCTAGGGCAACTTTAGTCATACTTTGTAGGGCTTCTCTGTTGGAATCACTTTTCCAGCCCCTACCTGATGTTTACCAGAAATTCTCGGGTTAATTTCTATCACTGGATTACCCTCAAATCCCTCCCATTTGTTGGACATGACCAGTTAAGGGAATTGGATTCTCATCAACAAGTGGGTAACTTATATCTCTTTGTAATCAAGACTTTGAATACCAAAGTCAGTTATTGGTATCTAGAGTGCAGCACCCATTTAGAGTTGAGAAGAGAGGAGACCTGATCAGGCATTTGACTAGCAGACACAGAACCTGTCCTAGAGGGACAGTTCTAGGACAGTTCCTGAGGCCAGCAATATTTATTTTGACATGTCTCTAGTCTTTGGCATTGTCTCTGTTTCCCAGCATGTTGGACAGTATATCAGATGGCCAGAACAAATAAAGTTCAGTGTCAAATGACTTCTGGCTCTATTTGAGTTGCTAGGATATGGACTGTTCAGGAATGGTGAGAGGTGATTCTTGGTTCCCCTGAAGTAAAACCTTATACAATTGAGTTCCTGGAAGGTAAAGTTATGAAATATTTGAGGTGTTTTCTGTGACTAACCCACTGGAGTGGTGCTGTAACCTCCTGTGTAAAATGTGTAGGTTTTGTAAATACATAGGCCTAGATTGAAACCCCAGGTCTGCCATTTATTAGCTGTGTGGCCTTGGGCAAGTCATGACTACCCAAAGGCTCAGATAACATTAGGCTGTATATAACTGTAGTTAAGAATGAAAACAGGGTTGGGTTTAATCTAAATTATACTACTTAAATCTTCTTTAGCTTTGAACAGATTTAACTTCTCCAAGTCTTGGCTTTCTTGCCTTTAAACTTGTAAGGATTGTAAGGACTAAATTAGATAATTCAAGTAAAGTGAGCATATGATACATCCTCATAAATGGTCACTGTTGTAAAAACATTTTGTTATTAAATAATCTACCCTACCATGTGTTGTACAGATAGAATGAGAGGTATATTGAAGCACCAGGTAATGCTCCTGGTCTACAACTCACTTTCTCTTCATAGACCCTGAACATTTGTTTCTTCTAGGTGCCATGGTCCCCTCCCACTAACTGGGCCTCATCCCCTTTGAAATAAGTCTTCATGTGCACTAAGGTGATAATTAGCTATTTAACTTGAGGTTCTAGTAGAAATCAAATCTATTTTCTTTAGACACCCAGGGTTCTTCCAGTACCCTCAAGGAATATGTGCACCTCAGCAACGGCCTTCTAGAGACCATGTTTCTGCCTCTGTTACCTGACTCTCTGACTGTGGTGGCCTGTCTGACTTATTAGGCAGGAACAACTATTTTGTGACAAGCTGATGAGTTATTTTGTGGCAGGAGGAGTCCATGGTGGCCCTCAGTGCACTTGATATGGACAATAGTTTAACCTTTATGGAACATACTATTTATGGGGCTGGTAATGAGTCCATGGTTATAATTCTTGAGGACTAGTTCATCTAACTCTTTATCCATGTGATTAAAAGAGCAACTTCTAGTATTCTTATCCATCCACAGATCCATGTTCTCTCTATTCCTCAGTTCCAGAGTGGGACTTTTTTTTTTTTTTTCCAGAATGGGACTTCCTTTTACTCCAACCTATTCTTCAATAAGCCTGTTGCCTTTTCCTCTGGAACAAAGCCAGTTTGATAAACAACTGTAGAAACAACAGGCTCTCTCCGTACACATATGTTCTTTCCTTTTTTCCCATTGTGCTTTCATTTCTTCATTCATTCATTCTTTCATTCTCTCATTAGACATTAAGCACCTAATATGTGCCAGGCAATGAGAATAATATAAAATACAACTCCTACCATCAAAGAACCCAGTCTAGTAGGGGGGACAGATGTAAACAAATAATAGCAAATACAGAGAGGTGGTTGCTACATAATATGGCAGAATTAAAATCGTATCACACAATTTGGCACACTTTTTTGAGGTGTGTTTGTAGGGGGAGGGTGGTAGCAGGGTTGTAAGGGAAAACTTTACAGGAAAAAGAAAAACATTTGGCTTGAGGGACCACCAAGTGTGAGAGGAGGTGTTCTGGGGATGATTACCAGTAATCACCAGTCCGGAAGGAAATTGTAATAGACTGGCATAGACTGAGCATTGAACTGTGAAAGTAGTAAGAGATGAGACCACAGAAGGCAGGGTGCATCTCCTGGTGAGCCTTATAAACCATGTTAAGCATTTTCAGCTGTATCCAGTAGGCTATCATTTGAGTGGGCTTGTTCTGGCCTCCAGGTGAAAAAAGGAGATGGATAGACCAGTTGCCTGGGACTGACTGTTCAAGCCAGAATTGCTGATTTTTTAATTTAAAGAGTAGTAGAAATTGTGTTTTGTTTTTTAAAGAATGAGAGGTGCTTAAAATAATTCTCTCCTCTTCCTCTGCCTTTTCTAATTTACAGATTCTTTAGAAGGTTAAACCTGATCCCCTTTCCCTCAAGTTTGGTTTCCCAAGTTGAGAGGAGTCATGCACTATCCACACTACAGTGTCCTCCTATTTCCAAACTGTTCTCTTTAAATAATCTTTTGTGCCTGGTTTTTGGCTGATGAATGGGGGAGGAAGTAGAGGTCAACTAAGTTGACCAAAGGTTTTAGGACATAATGAAAGCGCCGTCACCAGTGGTTAAACAAGGCAGTTGGCAAGAGCGGGGCGCAGGGAGAGAAGCTGGGCCTGCACTCCTCTTGCAGCGTCCCTTTGAGGAGCCCGGCTCCGAAGGGGTCTGGGGTGGAGCTGCCGCCTGAATCTGCTGAGAGGGGCGGGGCCGTGGGAGGAGTTTTAGCCGCTGCTGGCGGGGTTCTCTCTGTTACTGAACACGTTCGAGATGGGGGAGGTTTCGATTTGGGAGAGCAGGGTTGGAGACCAAGCCCAAGTCGTAGCCAAACTTTGTAGGATTTGCGCCTCTACAAAGGCGAAGTGGGGCAGGGCCACGGGCGGAGTTTTAAGCCCAGTCTCAGGGTTTTTGTCTGGGATTGAGCAGGAAGGGACTTGGGGGCAGGTCCCTCACTGCTTTTGACAGCTTTCTCTTTGTCAGCCGCAACTGAGTTCGGTGGGTTCGGAAATCTGTACCCCTCTCTCTGCGCGTTCCAGTTCCCCCCTCCCCACCCAGCCCAAGCCAACCCGTGGCTCTGGCCCTGGCCATGAAGCGCATCTTCTCCTGCTCCAGCTCACAGGTGGCGGTAGGTGCCAAAATGTCTGGGAGGATGGGCATGGGGTTAGGGTCCAAGCCCTGTGGTGACAGAAGTCCTGAGTCCTACCGCCGTGCACTGTTTGCCTTTTGTCTTTATCAGTCTTTCCAGCTCTTTCGCTCTTGCAATGCAGCCCACCAGTCCAACTTCCTCAAGACCCTGTTCCCCAGCCTCTGGTTAACCTCTGCCCAACCTCTGACCTCCCTAAGGTTCTTTCCCTTGACCCTTCTTTGTCCTCCTATCATCTACATTTCCAACTTCTGATGTTTTCTGTAGCCCTAACCCCTCCTGAAGGACCCATCCTATACTTTTGCTTTGTCTCTTAGTACTGAACCATTCTCAAGCATCTGCTCAGTCTCCAGGCCCTGCTCAGCTTCAACTTCCATTATGTCTCCAAAGTCCTACCCCACGTTCTCATTTTGCCACCCTGCCCTGTCCTCACGGCCCTCCCCTCTCATATGGTCCTATTCTTGTTTCCTCTCAACCCAAGTAGTCCCAGCCCTATACCTTCCCCTAGCCCTTCTTCATAGAATCTTCTCTTTCCTCACTCCCATCTCACCCCATGCCACTTCCACTCCCATTCTCTCATTATTACCACTGGCTCTCACACATCACTCCAACCCTCTTTCTAATTAGTGCTCTCACAACAGCAGCCTTCTTTTGTTCTCCCCTTCGACCTTTGCTTCTCTCTTCCCAATGGTTTTTCAATTCCACTTTTGCCCCTTTTGCCCTGACCTGCCTGCTCTCTGTGGGTTAATCTTGCAGTCTGGCCAGCCTGACAGGCATTGCCAGAGAAAGGCACAAGTGCCTGACTGCTCCCCACAGACCTACATAAGGTGCCTATACTGCAGTGCCTGGTCATCAGACTGATTCTTGTGCTAGTCAAGGCCTTCTACCTGCTTCTCCCAAGTCTTTCTTCATTCTAAACCCTCACCCATTTGTTTAGGTCTTATACTCTCTGCTCCTTTTGACTGAGTTGGGGAAAGGTGGTGGTGAGAAAAGAGGAGGAAAGTGTATTCACTTTGAGAGTTTCCAGAAGAAGTCACTCTACTCACCAAGTTCTCCCAGAACAAAACACAAGGAAGAAGATTACAGGATGTAGTGGTTTAGGGAGAGTATAATTTCTTCTTCTCTGAAGATCTCTTACAGAGAGACCTCGTATCTGGGGATGACAGTTTCTGTGCAGATGGGAATTATGGCTCATTTAGAACTGAAGTTGCTAATTACCTGTACTAATACTTCTTAGTGGTGCCATTCATAAGGAATCATGAGAAATGTTTAGTGCACTTTTCATGGGCAGGCCACAGAAGCCTGGAAGAAAGCTATGAGGCAATACCAGGAACTCTGTTGAGGCCTGCCCTTGTCCCACTTTAGTTTCTACACATTGGTCAACCAATCAAAAGACACTCACTGAATAACTATTATGGCCACCAGAAAGGGAGGCTACCCAGGCTCTGTTTTAACTCATAATGGTTTTCTTATTCACATGGACTCTCCCTAGATACTGAAAATTCTTTACATTGCCCCTCCCTACCAGGTTTGTGGAGTCTGCATGCTCCTTGGGAATGGAAAAACTATTTCATTCTTCCTAACTCTCCAATATTTGGTCAGTGCCCCCTTTCCAAGATGCTGTGGTGAGCAATGGACTGAATGTTGGAATTTGAAAGTATTCTTCTGTCCTTCTTTACCCCAGCTCTACAAAGGTTTGGTCATGGAGAATTTCTACCCATTCTAAACTCTTCTTAGTGTAACAAAATTATAAGAAGTAAATTGGGTGGATTTAGACCTATTTAGCTGGAAAGAAATCTGTTTCCTCAGGATGGGATCACAAAAAGCTTGGTGATAGGCCAGTTTCAGTTGGAAATTGTTTCTTCATAAACTTCCTCATACTTCTTATGATAAATTCCTCCACTTCCTTAGTAGCTAACCACCCTGGGCCCATTTGTCAGAGAAATAGTATGACAACATTCCTGGCCACTCCCAAAGCTTGACTTCCCAGTGATACTGGAGATTGCCCCTACCTATCCCCACTTCCACTCCTGGGTCCAGGGCCAGAGTCCTGCACTCTCAAATTGAGATAAGGACTAAAAAATCAGTGACCATTTTAAAATTAATCTAAGTTATCCAGAATATAAGAAATTGACCAAACAATCAGAAACCCAGCTTTTATAATCTCATTTTATTTTAATCAAGTAGAGGATGCCTTTGAGGGTGTCTTACATATTATCTTACTCTGCCTTTGTGGGAAGTAAACCAGAAAATAGCTCTAAACAGTTGGAACTGAATTAGCTTACAGAAATGTCATTTGCATTAAAAAAGTTAAGAGTCATCTCCTGGTTCCTTCAGGGCAGCCTTTCTATTTTCATACACCTGTCCTATAGCTGTAGCCACTCTTCCTCCACTCTTGGTGTCCTCTATCTTGATAGGAGACGTAAAGGCCCACAGCCAGGAATAAGGAGAAGCTGCATTACTTTTTTTTAAAAGGCACTCTAATTTTTTAAAAGACTTTATTTATTATTTATTTATTTATTTATTTATTTATTTATTTATTTATTTTAGAGAGAAGGGAAGGTAGGGAGAAAGGAAGGGAAAGAAACATCAATGTGTGGTTGTTTCTCACATAGCCCCCACTGGGGACCTGACCAGCAACCCAGGCATGTGCCCTGGACTGGGAATTGAACCAGCAATCCTTTGGTTCACAGCCCACGCTCAATACACTAAGCTACACCAGCCAGGGCTCTTCTTTTTTTTTTTGAGATAGAGAGAGAGGAAGGGGAGCAGAGAGAGAAACATCGATTTCTGTTGTTTCACCTATTTATGCATTCATTGTTTTTTTTTTTTAACCCTCACCTGAGGATATACTTACCGATTTAGAGAGAGAGGAAGGGGGAGAGGGAGAAACATTGATGTAAGAGAGAAACATTGACTGGCTGCCTCCCATACATGCCCCTACTAGGGATCGAATCTGCAACCTTTTGGTGTACTGAAGGACACTCTAACCAACTGAGCCACTCAGCCAGGGCCATTGATTGATTCTTGTGTGTGTCATGACTGGTGATTGAACCCACAACCCTGGCATATTGAGAGTACACTTGAACCAACTGAGTTACCCAGCCAAGGCAGGACCCCTATTTTTTTTCTTTTTTTTTAGATTTTATTTATTTATTTCTGGAGAGAGGGGAAAGGATGGAGGAAGAGATGGAGAGAAACATAGATGCGTAAGAGATACATCATTCAGTTGACTCTTCCATTCCCCCTACTGGGGACTTGGCCCACAACCCAGGTATGTGCCCTGACTGGGAACTGAACCTGCAACCTTTCAGTTCACAGGCCAGCACTCAATCCACTGAGCCACACCAGCCAGGGCCCCTCTAATCTTAACTAAAGATATACAAAACTTATTCTTGTATTTGAGTCTGCTGATTAATTTGGTAACTGTTCTCTTGAGGCTGTGATGATAATCCAGTGTCTCTCTTCCGAGGTGTTGGATGAGCAATGGACTGGATCCTGGAATTTATAAGTGTCTCTCTGTCTTTTTTCACCTAGTTCTGCAGAGCCTTGGTCATGAAGAATTTCCACCTATTTTAAATTCTTCTTAGTATAACAAGATTATAGGAAGTAAATCAGGTGGATTTAGAACTATCTAGCTGTAAAGAAAAGTATCTACTTTGCTTGGAAACACCTTTACTATATGTACAGCCTGGCCATTAAGCATTGGCTAATATGAGCAAGATCCCTTTCTCCCACTCCCCTGTATGGAGGATTCTGAGCCCAGAGATATCCAAAATGTGCCCAGCAAGGCTTGAAAGGATGGGGATTGGAGCTAACATTTGTTGTGTACCTACTATGTGACAGACACAGTGTTAGGTGCTTTATATGATGTTATATCATTAAAAAACTGATGTTCAGAGAAGTTTTTACATGCCTAAATTCACAAGAACAGGAAATGTTTGAATCAGGATTTTAAACAGGACTTCACATTGAGGTCAGCTGATGGCAGTGTCCTGTGCTGGAGGCATAGTTCTAGCTCTCTGCTTTTTCTGAGGGTGACCTGGCACCCAAGAGACATTGGATAATGTGTTCTTACATCTCATTCTTTTGGTATGTGAAGCAGTCATTTTGCTTATTTTGTTCTTTGAGAATTAACCTGTTTGGAGACTCTTCATGCATCTGAGAGCGGGTGGCTCTGCCCTGGAGGCAACCTTAGACTGTTTATTTGGAAATAAGTAAAATATCTTCTATCACTCTGTAGTAGTGTGATCTGGTGGTGAGAACTAGTATTTAGCATTAGGTGGCCCGGGCTCTAATCTCAATTTTCTCACCATTTTGTGGTGTGTCTGTGCAGTTATTTAACCTCAGTGTGCTTCAGTTACTACTTCTATCAAATAGATAAAATAGTATCAGCCTTAACTACTTTCCAGGGATGTTGAGAGGCTAATTGAAATAGCACTTGAAAGCGCTATGAGGAATTACAAGTGTTATATTGGAGTCTTACCTCAGAATTCATCTACCCTAGATAATTTTATGACTGGAACATTTAAAATTCTTCCTGTTTTTGATTAATAATTTGCCATGGCTATGTAAACAGTATTTGAAAATGAGTTATTTGGCTTTCATTGACCTTATATTTTTCCACCTTCTCCTATAACCTCTTTCTTATTGAGATTATACCTCATAAAATGCAACATGCAACCACTAGTCCCCCATCAGTTCCTGTTTTATTATAAGGATACCATATACTTGTATAGCTCTTCACAGTTTACAAAGAGATTTTTATATATATTAGTTAATTTAATATTCACAACATGATGAGGTAGAACACAAGTAATTCTCCCACTCCCCTGTATGGAGAATTCTGAGCCCAGAGATATCCAAAATGTTTATTACTTTCCACATTTTGTAGGTGAGGAAACAGGTTACAGGTGTTTAATGGCTTACTCTAGGTCTCGTAGCTGAGAAAGTATCTGAACCAGTCCCTGAACTCAGGCCTGCTGACAAAATTTCTCTGGGGCACTTTTCACCATAACACAAATTTTTGCATCCTTTCTTCTTTTCCTTTCCCTTTTCTGGGTCAAACCAGGCTTTTCAGTGCTTTCAGCTCTGGGTGTTTTTACACAGTTCTCTCTTTTATGCCATGAGGTACTTCAATTATAGTAATTATCCTACCACCTGAAAAAGTCAAGCTAGAATTTTAGAACAATGAATGCGCAGGTGTGGCTTTTGTCTGGGACAGCTGCTCCCTACCTGGAAAAGAGGAGGGAGGGGAGGAAGGAGAAGGGAAGAGACCTCTTGCTACCTCCTCAAACCTAGCTAGAGACCTATATTTGCTGTTCGGTTGTTGCCATGAAAGGGAAGAGCAACTAGGTAATGGGCAAAGATTTGAGATGGGAAAATGAAAACTCTTATGTTTCTCCTCCCTGTTTTGGGGCCCAAAGCCGATGGGTAGAGATGGTATGATTAGGTATTGGGACTGCTGACTATGACCTGAAGCTAGGTGCCATGTCTTCTCAAATATCTGAAGATAAAAAAGCAGAGTAGCATGGGAAGCTTAGAGGGAATGTGAGCACAGCTTGCTCTGGCAAGACCTAGAGAAAAAATGGGAAAGGAGTCTTGGCTGGGATTGCTCTGTTGTTGTCCTAATAACAATAATCATAATGATGATTTAAAGAGATTTGAGCCCTGGCTGGTGCAGCTCAGTGGATTGAGCACCAGCCTGCAAACCACAGGTTCGCTGGTTCAATTCCCAAGCACCTGCTTGGGTTATAGGCTGGTTCCCCAGTGAAGGCCATGTGAGAGGCAACCACACACTGATGTCTCTCTCCCTCTCTTTCTCCTCCCTTCCCTTCTAAAAATAAGTAAATAAATAAAATCTTTTAAAAAAGAAGACATTTTAAATACTCTGCATCCAGCACTCAACACTGATTTTTAAGTCAGTAGTCCAAGCACTTTTTGGTCCCGGGCTGGCAATAACCAGAAGTAGTTCTAAGTAGAATATGAATTGGTGATTATTTAACTGGCCCACCTAAGAAGGACTACCTGATCTTAGGCTGAGTGATTTGTGGAACACTGAAAGGACCTTAGGGATGTCCTTTTCCTCTTGTTTGGCATCTTCCTATAACCATCTCTTTTAATTTCTTTCTCCACTCCACCCTCACCTAATTCACACAATCTGTGGCTCTGGACCAGGTGGAGAGATGGAACAACCGTGATCAGAAACTGCTGGAGGCAGTGCAGCAGGGGGATGTGGGACGCGTGGCTGCCCTGGCTTCCAGGAAGTCTGCCCAACCCACCAAGCTAGACTCCAACGGCCAGTCTCCGTAAGTAAGTCCTCCTGACCCTAGTTTTGGTATGTGGTTCCCTTTGAAAGCTCCAAACTCCAATATTATATAGGACCAGGGAATACCTCAACTTCACAGCCCTTTTTGTCTTAATAAATCTCTGCTATGCATTAAGTGCTGCACAAAATGAGGGAAAAAATTATTGTCCCTGAGCTCCATCCACTTCACAATCCAGGTAAACCAAACTGACCAAAAAAAGGACAAAAATCCCATGAAACAAACAGAAAACTGATATATGCACTAAATAGAGTATTTCTTCCTTGCACAAAGAGGAGGGTGTGTGTGCTTGGGAAATTCAGAATGAAGTGGTAGCCACAAGAGTCACATGGCTAGAAGGAATGAGTAGGATAAGAGGAATGTTACCCCTTGTTTCTGCCCAAGTCAGTCTTCACATGCCCAGCCCTGCTCTGGTCTGGCTGACCCTTTCTGTGACACTTCCAGTCTGCTAAGGTACCTGCAATAATAGTCTGAGATTTCTTGAGACCTGTAGCTCTTATTTCTATATTTGCTTCCAGCTTCCTCTGATTTTATGATAGTAGGTCATAAAGCCTTCTCTTTTTCAGAGAGTCAGACCAGGGGAGTTCCCTCTCTGCTTTTGGGATTGGCTTTGGGGTTAAGGGAGCATAGGAAGCAGTGATTATTAAGACTCTCCCATTCCTTATCCCTTGATCCCTTCATCATTCTGCCTCTTGGCCTTGATTCTGGCAGGTTTCATCTGGCAGCCTCCAAAGGCTTGACAGAATGTTTGACTATACTGCTTGCTAATGGAGCTGACATCAATAGCAAGAATGAGGATGGTGAGTTAGACTGAGCACTGGGTTATACCGCTTGCCTCTCCCTCTACAACAGCAGTGGGGGGCAGTGCTGGGCTCTGCTGTAGGTTCCAATGGCAACCCCCTGCTTCTCTCCTCATAAATTCTGACGGGCATCCTTCCAGAGGTTCCCCTCCCTACCAGCTGGGTGTACTTTCACCCACCTCCCACCTCCAACTTAGGTACTAGGCACTTGGGAAACAAGAATTTCTGGCCTCATATGGCTAAGATCTTTTCTCTCTAATTTCCCTCTGATTATCTGTGCATCTCTTGCCTTCCCTCCCTGTGAGTCATTGGCATGTATGAGGCTACACACCTCCCTCACCTGCTCTTTCACTTTCCAGGAAGCACCGCCCTGCACTTGGCTACCATCTCCTGCCAGCCACAGTGTGTCAAGGTCCTGCTCCAGGTAAGAGCAACCCCTTGATACTACTCCTGTGAAGGGAGGAAGTGGACCCAGAGTTTCTTAACTTTGTCTTGAAGTCACAAGTAATATTTGATCAAAGATACCCATCTTATTCCCAATATGAGGGCTTGTAATAATTTATTCATTAATTCACAACGTTTATTTAACATCCACTATATACAGGCACCACACTTAATGCTGCCCTTGAGAGCAGGTCATAAAGTAGAATTGCCAGTCAATATGCATATATTGAGCACTGCCATTGGCAGAGCCACTTCAAAGACTAACTGTTGTGATGCTGATGGGTGGGCAGAAGGAGGACAGAGGTTTTCAAATTAGAACAAAATGCTATTGTCTGTTTTTGAGATGTGTGTAGTCTAGGCACACACAGAGAAATATAGATGTGAAATGACATGTGGAAAATTTATAAATAATTCTCCAAAAGTACAAAAGGCACAGTTTAATAGACCATTGGGTGAATTTCTGTTCTGCCTTTGTTCTTCCCAACACTTTCCAAGTTTCCCAATTATGCTTCTAAAGTATAAGTCATGGTCTCAGGTGTTATTTTCCCTAGCATGTTTATTTATCTATAATCTGATTTTTCTTAGGCCCTACGTTTAAAAACCAGGGTTGATATTTAAGGCTGCCTATCATCCAAAAAATTTATTGGGCTTGCCTAGCAGTTGAACAAAGCCATGGTTCTCTCACCCCTCCCCATAGTAATCTGGAAGTTGGAGACCCAACAATGGGTATGGGATGAGAATGTTAACCTCATGTTCTGTGCTGTTTCCCTTTGTGGCTCTTTACAGCATGGTGCCAATGAAGATGCTGTGGATGCAGAAAATCGTAGTCCATTGCACTGGGCAGGTGCGTGCCAGAGGACTGGTGGGAAATAGGGCTACAGGGACCATAGGGTAGGAAGGGAGAGGAGCATAATATTTGGTGGAAAGGGCAGGGCTGATTACTAAAATGGTTGGAGGGTATTTTGGGTCATGGTCTAACTAGATATCCTTCCTGCTTCCCCTTAACCCAATCATCCTTCAACCCTCCCCAGCCTCCTCTGGCTGTGCCTCAAGTGTGCTCCTGCTGTGTGACCATGAAGCCTTTTTGGATGTCCTAGATAATGTGAGTATCAGCTGGAACACTGGGCAGTGTTCTACACAGGGAGGCTGTGTCTTTCTATGAGCTCGATTGGCCAAATTCTGTGACCAGATTTTGTGCAGTACCACCTTCTCTTACTCCCTCCCAACCCCACCCTGCTCCTCCTCCTCTTCCTCATAGAGATGTTAAGCCTTATCTTGTTAAGAGCTTCTAACCCTTAGAAAAGGAACATATAGCCTCAAGACTGGAGATTTTTTTCTGGAGAGGTGTGGGGAGAGGGGAGCTGGTAGGATTGTGTCAAACCCCTGGCTCCCCTGGCTTTTCATGAACCCTCTTTCCACAACCTGTGCAGGATGGACGTACACCCTTGATGATTGCCTCACTGAGTGGTCATGCGGCTATCTGCTCACAGCTACTGCAGAGAGGTGCTCGAGTTAATGTTACAGACAAGGATGACAAGTGAGCCTTCCTTATCTTCCCACCCCAAATCCAGACCTCGATCAATTTAGGAAGGCGCTACTGGGCAAAGTGTGTGTGTGTGTGTGTGTGTGTGTGTGTGTGTGTGTGTAAGAAGGCAAGTTAATCTCTGTGTTCTTGGTCTCCTTTCTTCTGAGTCATGGTTTACAAGAGCTCTGCCAATGGCTTCACTGTTTTCCTCTTGAGAACTTGAGAAAGTTTTCCTTATGCTTTTTTATTCAGCTTCTACCAGCCCCATCTTCTTAACATAGAACTCTGGAAGTAGAATCAATACCTCTGGACACATAGTTTAATTTACTGGTTTTCAAGCTATCTTTTAAGCAATGGAATCCTTTTTTTCTGATAAAGAATTTATGCAGAACCTTAATATATAAAAATTGAGGAAAATAAATCCCTTTTACTTGCCCCCCTGCTTTCTGACGCTTCTGCTGCAAGGACTGGCATTTGAAAAGTTCTGGTCTGGCCTAATGCTCTGTCATTGGCTGGTGTTGGTCTATGTTTCTCCTGCCCACACTGAATGAGAGCTGATCCTGTGAATGAGATTTCTGGAACCAGGACACTCTGATTCCAGAAGGAAAGCCTATCCTCAGATTTGTCCTAACCCACAGATCGGCTCTGATCCTGGCCTGTGAGAAAGGCAGTGCTGAAGTGGCTGAACTACTCCTGAGCCATGGAGCCGATGTGGGAGTGGTGGATAGCATGGAGCATGATGCTCTGTATTATGCTCTGCACACACAAGACAAGGCACTGTGGAAGCTGGTACAGCAGGCCCTGAACTGGCGGAGGGGAGGTAAAGCCAGTTCCCTGTTGTAACTTCAAAATGCTCCTTTATAGCTCAAAGAAGCTTCTTAGACTCCCATTTGTTTCCATGGCCATGATCCATCTGACAAATAATTGTCACATTAGTCAAGAATTTATTTATTGCTGTTACTATGAGATGATCCCAAATTCACAAAAGCATAGTCACAAAGTTCCTTAATGAAGCCTGTCTCTCACTAAAGGCAACTCTAGCTAGTACTATCACTAGCATTTCTGAGTTATAATTGTATATCTCTTTGTGTGGTTTCCTGGTAAACCTGTCTCTCCCCTACTAGACTGTAAATCCCTCAGATGACAGGCCATTTCTGTTTTGTTTACCACTGATATCCTGGTGCCTATTACAGTGCCTGACATGGTATCCAATAAAGTGAGTGAACAAAATGAATGAGCTGGCACATGTCTAGGATAGGGAATCAAGTTTGCTGGATTGAACAGGAGTGGCTCCCAGCTCTAGGAAGATATGTGTGGTAAGGGTTATGATACTGAGGGGCCACTCCTCTCACTGAGAGTCTAAAGAAAGAGTGTGGGATAGAAACACATGGGACCTGTCCCTGCTCTCATTTTCCTCATGTCTTTTCATGTAGATCAGGAGCTAGTTCAATATCCAGAGGTTGCATCTAAGGTAAGACCCTAAGTACCTCCCCTTTTGACCCACTGCAGGCCATCCCACTGGGATATCTCCCAGGAAGTGATCCATGGGGGTGTTGAGACAGTCTAAAAGAAGAAAGGCCCTCCTGGGTCTAGGATAGCTTCCAGGCTTTACTTCACTGTCTGTTTTCTACATAGGCCTCTCCATCTGAGCCTCAGGTGGGTTCTCTACCTAAGAGTTCATGGAGAGGAGAGCCCAAGGAGCAGCAGGAAGGAGAGAACCATGGAGGCATATGCTCAGAGGCATGGAGGTGGAAGTATGAAGATGAGCAGAGGAAAGTTTCTCAGTTGGAACAGGAGCTGGTACAAAAGACAGAAGAGTGTAAGGCTCAATCTGCAGCCTACCCAGACCTGAAGAACCAGATTCGAGAACATGTGCTGGAGCTGGGGCTCCTCCTTGCCCAAGAGCCCACAGCTTCAGAAGGGCAGAGTTCTAGTATCCATCCTGAAGAAGATGACATGGAGAAGGGTTGTCTCCTGGACCTGCCGGCTGAGCACATACATGACTTAAAGAAGCAGCATCAGGCAGTAACCACAGCCACAGCCACAACCTCAGCCAACCCAGTATTAGCTTCCAAGAAGACTGAGGATTCAGCCCAAGGGCAGATCCATTATGAAACCCATGGTTGGCCCCAACCAGAAGAACAGGGGCCACCCCAGAGCCCAATGTGTGAGATCATGAGGAATGCCACAGGACAGCAACTGATCACCAACGGTGGACACGCTCTTAGCTCTGATCATACTGACCAGCCACATGTTGGCCAGAAGGAGAGGTCACAGGCCCTAGGGGCTGAACCAACAGACACAGTGGCTGAATCAGTGGGCATAGCAGCCATGAACCAGCTCCTGCTACAACTGAGGGAGGAGTTGGCTGCAGTGTGGCAAGAAAAGGATGCTGTCCTGGGGTCTTTGTCAAGACCAGTCCTAGAGGTAGCTCTGGGGACACCCAGAGCTGAGGCTGCAGCAGCTGCCTGGGAGAAGATGGAGGCCAGGTTGGAGCAGGTGCTAGTGAGGCTGGATTGGGCAAAGGCAGGACTACAAGGGAAACCTATGGCCCCTGCCCAGGAGCCCAGAGAAGGAGCACCAAAGGCAGGCTCAGAAACCATCACCAAAAAGGATGAAGGGAGGGAGAAAAGGGCCCCTGGGGCCCACAGGGAGCCTCTAATAGCCCCTGTCAGAGAACAGATGTCTGGAGGAGGACTGGCAAAGGGACCACTGGAGAAGGAGGTGTCAGCACTAAGACTGAGCAACAGGCACTTGCTAGAGGAGTTGAAGGAGCTGGGGTGGGAGCGGCAGCAGTTGCAAGGGAAGCTGCAGTCCCTGAGCCAGCGGCTGCAACGGGAGTTTGTGCCCAAGCCAGAGGTGCAGGTCCAGCTCCAGCAATTGCAGCAGAGTGTGGGGCTGCTGACAGATGAACTGGTGTTGGAGAAGGAGGCCAGTGAGAAGTTGCAGAAGCGCCTGGCCTCCCAAAACAGTGGCCTCCGAGGCCTGTGGGACTGCTTTCCCCCAGAGCTGGTGGGCAAAGCAAGTGCTTGGTGCACAGATACTGAATCCTTGGAGGAGCTACAGGCGCACATCAGCACCTTGGTATCCAGGCACCATGAGGCCCAGCAGGTGCTGACTAGGTTGGAGGAGGAAAACCAGTGGCTGCAGGGACCCTCTGCCCCACATAGGGAGCCAGGCACCTCCTCAAAGGTGCCAGCATCCCCAGAAGTGGCTGCTTTAGAGCAAGACCTCAGGAAGCTCAAGGAAGAGCTGGGGGCCGTTCAGGCCACAATGAGTGGGAAGAGCCAGGAGATCAGGAAGCTGAAGAAACTGCTTTACCAGGCAACAGAGGAAGTGGCTGAGCTGAGGGCCAGGGAGGCGGCCAGTCTGCAGCAGCACGAGAGAACTCGGGGCTCTCTGGTGGCCCAGGCCCAAGCTTGGGGTCAGGAGCTAAAGGCTATGCTAGAAAAGTATAACACTGCCTGCCAGGAAATGGGCCGGCTGCAGGAGGCTGTGGCCAAGGAGCGTCGTGGGAGTGGAGACCTGGCCGCCAGGGCCACAGAGCAGGAGCGCCAGGCCAGCGAGATGCGTGGGTGCTCAGAACAGTTTGAGGAAACAGTGGAGCTGCTGAAAGAAAAGATGGAGCATCTTTTGGGGACTTGCCAGGACAAGGATGCCAAGGTGATCAGATCAGGCAGTGATGGAGAGAAGTGGGGAAGGTTTCTGTGTGTTTACTGGATTTGCTAACCTGCATCTACCTTTGGTTAGTCAGATAAATATCCCCTGCTCCAAAACAGAATGCCAACTTTTTAAAAAGATTTTATTTATTTATTTTTGAGAGAGGGGCAGGGAGGGAAAGAGAGAGGGAGAGAAACATCAATGTGCGGTTGCCTCTCTGGGACCTGCCTGCAACCCAGGCATCTGCCCTGACTGGGAATCAAACTGGCAACCCTTTGGTTTGCAGGCTGGCATTCAATCCATTGAGCCACAACAGCCAGGGAATGAATGCCAATTATTAGCAATTTGTCTGAGTCTGAGGCAGTTTGGAGTTAAGATTGGAGGTGAGGTATAAATATAAGAGAACTTAGGTATTAAAACCTAAGAAGGGGACATAGGTATTAAAATTTGGGACTCTGGGTTCAGAAGCAGTGTGGTCTGGGCTACCACCCATGGATTACTATGGTTTATTAGCATTTTGACTTAAATTATGTGTATTAGCCTGAGGACAAGTCTAATAATATAGTACGTTGCTATGGTTTTGGTAGGGTTCTGAGGAGGTGACCCAAAGGCTGATTGATTGATTAAGAAAAATAGACTACAAGCCCTGGCTGGCATAGCTCAGTGGATTGAGCGCAGGCTGGGAACTAAAGTGTCCCAGGTTCGATTCCCAGCCAGGGTACACTCCTGGGTTGCAGGCCATAACCCCCAGCAACCGCACATTGATGTTTCTCTCTCTCTCTCTCTCTCTCTCTCTCTCTCTCTCTCCCCCCCTTCCCTCTATAAAGATAAATAAATAAAATCTTTAAAAAAAAAGATGCTTAGTTTATTAAAAAAAGTGGTGAGAAATAACAATTTAAAAAAAAGAAAAATAGACTATGCTAAAGGCCCACTTCTCCCCTCCCACTTCAATCAGAGATTTCCATTGGCAAAGAAATCCCCAATGCAAAGACAGAAATTTGGAAACCACTATGTTAGGTGCCCAAGTTTCCTAAAAAATCAACTTGCAAATGAACTTAGTAATTCTAGAACTTTACCTATGAAATGAATTCAGAAACCTTATACAAATTTGTGTACATGGTAAAATTTAGAATGATTAAAAAATATGGGAAGCATATGTTTTACATAATATTGAATACATAAAAATATAAGGAATGTTACAGAAGAGGAATCAGTATGGGGTGGGGCTAATTAAAGAAAGGAAGAATTTTGTGTTGGTGTTGAAGGAGAAGAGGAAGGAGATCAAATGGCAAAAGAAAATAGTATAGTGGAGGTTGGACTGAGATCATCTGGATTTTTATTTCAGCTTCAAAATTTACTGATTAATCATGGGTGAGTTATCTAAACCTCCAAGTCTCCAAGCCTCAAGTTTTTTAAATCTATAAGATGAGGCTAATACTAGAGTTTTTGTGAAGGTTATATTACATAAGGTTATATTTAAAATACTCAGAATAACTTCTTGAAATTTTTAAGTATCACAGTTAGCTATTTTTATTATTCTTACTACCACCGTTCCTAGTACTGCTGGTTATCATTAACCGCATTTGTACCTTAGCCTCACAAACCACAAAAACTCATCTACATTTCTCTTAGTAGTCAGCAGCCAGAAGTAGATCAGGATCCAGTAGAGTTAACAGCATGGCCCTGGCTGGTATGGCTTAGTGGATTGAGCACTGGCCTGTGAACCAAAGGGTTGCCAATTCAATTCCCAGTCAGGGCACATGCATGGGTTGTGGGCTAGGTCCCCAGTAAGGGCCACGTGAGAGGCAACCACACATTGATGTTTCTCTCCCTCTCTTCATTCCTCCCTTCCCCTCTCTCTGAAATTAAATAACATACTTTAAAAATATTAAAGATTAAAAAAAAAGAGCATGGACCATGATCTCAAAGAGATCTCAGTTCAGGTCATAGGTTATCACTTATTAGCTGTATGATTTGACAAATTACTTAACTCAGACTCTTTATCTAGAAAATGTGAATAATAATGTTTCCTCTCTTCCTCTAGAGAAGTATTATTCTCAGAACAGAAGTAAAGTTCTTTTGAGTATTAAATGACACAAGGTGTATGTAAAAGAATCTGGCACATATTATATACTCAGTAAAAGGAAGCTGAACTTGACCCTGGGTGGTAGTAGTGGGGTGGGTGGGAAATGACTTGGACCTCATTGGTTCCCTTTGGTTTCAGATCAAGGAATTGTTGAAGAAGTTGGAACAGCTTTCAGAGGAAGTCCTAGCAGTTCGAGGAGAAAATGCTCGCCTTGCCCTCCAGCTGCAGGTATGTTTTGGCTCTCAGGGAAACAGACAGAGCTAGAGAAGAGGGTGGACAGTGGAAATGATGTATATGTAAGAGAGATTCTGGGAATTTCAGAGACCTGTTCAGGCAGAGGTCCACACTGGGCCATTGATGGGCCAAGGGAGACTACCTGGCCCAACTGACCACTTAATTTTATTGTTCCTCATGCTTGGAGTATCAGGGTGAGTATGGGAGGGTAGGCACATAACTTCTAATTGATGCTTACTCCCAGGATTCCCAGAAGAACCACAAAGAGATCATCTCTGCCTATAGGAACCATCTGTTGAATGCTGCTCAGGTAGGCATGGGGAGAAGAAGAGACAGAGAGTTGGGCAGGGTTGTTGCATTTGGGGGTCCTTCTCTCACCTGCACATATTTGTCATTCACAGAAAGCTAGACTTTAGGTGTTCCAGTGCCAGGTCTCTGGATCTCATGAGGAAGAGCAAGAGAAGTTGCACATGAATGTATGGGGAGGGAGGTGTTTGTCCCTCCTTTTCAATTTCCCGATCCACTGTAAAGCCTTTTCCTGTCTCTTACTTCCTTTCTCAGTTCCCTCCTGAGCCAAATGATCCCTCACCAAGGAAGTAGAGGGGAATGGCTTGCTCCTCTATTAGGAATAGTGATAACTACAAAGAATTGAACATTTATTGTGTACCAGGTGTTTTGTTTCAGATTCAGAGTTGTAACCCTCGCAGCAATCCTGAAGAGTAAACATTATCTTCCTTGAAAAGATTAGGAGCCCTGGCTGGTGTGGCTCAGTGGGTTGAGTGTCATCCTGCTAACTGAAGTTTTGCCAGTTCTCAATCAAGGTACATACCTGGGTTGTAGGCCAGGTCCCTGGTTGAGGGTGTGAGAGGGACAGCCAATTGATGTTTCTCAAGCATCATCAATGTTTCTGTCCCTCCCTTTCTTCCCCTATCTCTGAGAATGAATAAATAAAATTTGAAAGAAAGAAAAGAAAGAGAGGAATACGGCAGGCGGAAAATTTGGAAAGAAGAGCTGTGATCCATCCCTTCCACCAAGAATGTACTTTCTTCTAAGGAACAGCAGTTGTGTGGATGCAGGTAGATTTTTTACACTGGGACGAGTTATTCCAGCATTTTTACCTACACGTTCCTAGTCAGTTGGGCACATCAGTCCTTTCAGCAGAACCTGACTTAAGCACTTAACCTTTCATGACTCAGGTGTGCCAAGACAAAAAAAAAAAAAATGGCCCAAATGGAAAAAGAGATCAAAGCTCCAGAACAAATACAACTAAGCGACGAAGAGATAGCCAACCTATCAGGTGCACAGTTCAAAACACTAGTAATCAGGATAGCTCACAGAACTAGTTGAATTTGGCTGCAAATTAGATGAAAAAAATGAAGGCTACACTGAGAGAAATGAAGGAAAATGCACAAGGATCCAACCGTGATGGGAAGAAAACTGGAACTCAGATCAACGGTGTGGACCAGAAGGAAGAAAGGAACATCCAGCCAGGAAAGAATGAAGAAACTAGAATTCAAAAAAATGAGGAGAGGCTCAGGAACCTCCTGGACATCTTTAAATGTTCCAACATCTGAATCATAGGGGTACCAGAAGGAGAAGAGGAAGAGCAAGAAATCAAAAACTCATTTGAAAACATAAGGAAGGAGAACTTTCCCAATCCGGTAAAGGAAAGAGACTTCCAGGAAGTCCAGGAAGCTCAGAGAATCCCAAAGAAGTTGGACCCAAGGAGGAACACACCAAGGCACATCATAATTACATTAGCCAAGATGAAAGATAAGGAGAGAATCTTAAAAGCAGCAAGAGAGAAGGAGACAGTTACCTGCAAAGGAGTTCCCATAAGACTGTCAGCTGATTTCTCAAAAGAGACCTTACAGGCAAGAAGGGGCTGGAAAGAAGTATTCCAAGTCATGAAAGGCAAAGACCTACATCCAAGATTGCTCTATCCAGCAAAGCTTTCATTTAGAATGGAAGGGCAGATCAAGTGCTTCTCAGATAAGGTCAAGTTAAAGGAGTTCACCATCACCAAGCCCTTATTATATGAAATGTTAAAGGGATTTACCTGAGAAAAAGAAGATAAACATGTACAGTAAAATGATAACAAACTCACAGTAACAACCACACCTAAAACAAAAACAAACTAAGCAAACAACTAGAACAGGAACAGAACCACAGAAATGGAGATCACATGGAGAGTTATCAGCAGGGGAGTGGGAGGGGGAGAGAGGGGGAAAAGGTACAGAGAATAAGTAGCATAAATGGTAGGTAGAAAATAGACAGGGGAAGGTTAAGAATAGTAAATGTAGTTAAGAATAGTAAATAGGAAATGTAGAAGCCAAATAACTTATATGTATGACCCATGGACATAAACTAAAGGGGGATGTGGTGGGAGGGGCTGTGCAGCGCAGAGGGGAATAAAGGGGGGAAAATGGGACAAGTGTAATAGCATAATCAATAAAACATATTATTAAAAAAATAAAAAACAAAAAAAGAAAAGAAAGAAAGGAAGACATAAAGGAAAAGAAAGAAAAGGAAAGAATGAAAGAGAAGATTAGGAAATAGCCATGGAGAAGTTAAATACTTCTCTCATAGGGCTCATAGTTACCAAACAGCATTCCACTATACTGCAGAGTCTCTCCCTCATCTATCTCTCCCCATTTTTCTGTTCTTCACCTCCCTTTATTTCTTTTTTGCCATCCACAGGGCTACATGGAACAAGATGTGTACAGTATCCTACTGCGAATCCTCAGCATGCAGGAGGAGTGAGACAGCATGGGCCATGAAGGGTCTGGGATTCCTCCCTTGTAAGTTATGAACTCAGGCTGACGAGGGAGCTTGGAAGAAAGGACTTTGGAAAAGTGGCTTAAGGTTGGGAACTGTAATCTCCTTTTGCCCCAAGTGGTAGCTGCGCGTGGGCCATAGAGCATTTGAAGTGAATTGAGAAGTCACAATTTGGGGAATCACTGGGTGGAGTCAGGAATCACTGAACAGTTAGACTAACAGGGGCTGAGATGGGATGGAGACTGAAAAGAGGAGTTGAGTGACTCTTTTACAGTCTGGGATAGAGAGATACCAGTGAATGATGAGTGATGGCAGGACAGTGGTACAAAGTTGTTTCCTAGGGTGGGACTCTACAAACTCCAGAATCTCTCCTCCACTCCTATACCAATCATTCAGTGAATAGTTTTCTACTCTTCTTCTCCGCACCCCTATGTCCATGACCATCTTCTCAGTCCAGATACATGAGGATCCCCTTTAGCATCTTGGTATGGGTAGGAGGAGTCTGAGGATATGGAGGCATGTGCATTTTATCCCTGAATTTCTTCTTTCAAGGAATAAGAATATCCCTGGTTGCCAGAGGCTCCATCAAGCTGTATAGTGGGTGGGGGGTTATCCAGTAGGGATAGTGTATGTGGAGCTTCACCTGACATTATGGGCCCCAGACCTGAGAACCTGAACTCTGGAATCAGCATGGATGAGATTAGAGAAGATCTGGATGAAAATAAATATTTTTAAATAAATAAATAATATTTTCCTGCTTTGTGGAAAATAAAGTGGGAGGCATTATGATACTGTGTGTTTTCTCTGTTTAAAGGGGTATGGCAGGGGGCAGGGAAGGGAAGGAATTTTTTTCATTCCCTTTTTTTTTAAACAAGTGTCTCCATAAGCCAGCACTTTCAAATTTTGATTATGATTGCCCTGGTGGGGTAGCTCAGTTGGTTAGAGCGTCATCCTGATGTGCCAAGGTTGCAGGTTCAATCCCTGGTCAGAGCACATACAAGAATCAACCAGTGAGGGCATAAATAAGTGAAACAACAAATCTCTCTCTTTCCCTTTCTCCCCACTCCTCTCTCCCTCTAAAAAGAAAGAATCAACCAATGAATATATAAATAAGTGGGACAATACATCAATGTTTCTCTGTCTTTCTCTTTCTGTCTCCCTTCCTCTCTCTCTAAAATCAATAAAAAAAAATTAATTATGATCCATAGTAAGAAATACATTTTACCATATTTTGTCATGTATAATATGCATTTTTTGCCCAAATTTTTTAGGGAAAAATAAGGATATGCATTATACATAGGTAGTACCTGAAATACCTTGTAACTGTTCTTGTGTTTTGTAATTATTTGTTACATAAATTTTCTTGTACCATAATATGTTAAAAATAAATGCTAAAATTCCTTTGTAATACAAAAAACAAGCATCTAAATATTAATGAATAAATAATTGAATTTAAAAAATTAAAATGAAAGTTTTTCCTGAAAGTTTGGGCCAAAAACATGGGTGCTCATTATACATGGCAAAATACAGTATATCCTATGTGGACTTACTTGAACTATGTCCTATTCTAGTCTGTTCTCTGCTATTGTACTCCACCAAAATAATATTAATCAAAATATATCCACTAATGGGTCAAGGTCCACAGTTTGAAAAACAACCCTCTGTGAAAATGGGGATTGACACTCTTCATTTCTCTTTCACAAATCTGTCTCTTACAGACTGGCTCAGCTCTAACCATTCTTCTCTACCTTGGGACTCCCCAGTCTACTCTTTGAGGAGGAGACATTGAGAGACATGGATTTTCTTTGAGATGTACAATCTAAAGTATTATATCATTTATTAAACCATATGTTTAGATTTGAAGCACATAATCTTATGTGGTCAGTGTTCCTTGCTCCAGGATCCAAGAAAGATGAAAAGTCTGATTCCAGAGAAAGGGATGAAGGGACACTCATAGTTGGGTTTTCCCCTTCAGTTCAGTTCTCACACTGAAAAATGTATTTCTTGGAGACTTCTGGCCAAGATGGAGGCGTAGGTGGAAACACTGTGCCTCCTCACACAACCAAAATAAGGACAACAACAATTTAGAAACAAAATAACAACCGGAACTGAGAGAAAACTGAACTGTATGGAAGTCCAACAACCAAGGAGTTAAAATAGACACATTAATCCAGACTGGTAGGTGGGGCAGAGTCTGACGGCTGGGCGGAGAGGGGTTGAGGCACAAAGAGTGGTGGCACCAGGCGTGCAAGGCACCCCAGGCACACAAGAAGGCAACAGGTAGACCCTGGGCATGCAGACGGAGGCTGGCAGACCCTGGGTATAGGGTGGCAACAGGCAAACCCAAGCCCAACAAGGCGGCGATTGTGAAGTGAGGCACTGTGCGCAAGGCAGCTGGCTGACTGGGCAGTCCCACATTCATGTGCAGATAAACCAGGAGAAACTGGGGAGCAACACAGACCATGCAACCCAAGATCCCAGTTCTGTGAAACAGAGCTTCGGGGCACCAACTGAAAACACCTGTGGGGGTTGAGGCCCAGGAAGAGACTCCCAGCCTCACAGGAGAGTTGGTTGGAGAAAACCATGGGGTTCTAGAATGTGCACAAACCCACCCACACAGGAATCAGCACTAGAAAGGCCCATTTTGCTTGGGGGAAGCAGTGGAAGGGACTGCAGTCAGACAGAGAGCAGAGTGGGGGCCATGGTTCCCTCTCAGACCCCTCCCCCACATACAGTATCACAACCAAGGGACTGGGTTGCCCCACCCTGGTGAACACCTAAGGCTCCGCCCCTCATACATAATAGGCACGACAAGAAAAAAAAATAATGGCCCAAACGGAAAAACAGATCAAAGCTCCGCAGAAAATACAACTAAGCAACGAAGAGATAGCCAACCTATCAGATGCACAGTTCAAAGCACTGGTGATCAGGATGCTCACAGAACTGGTTGAATTTGGTAGCAAATTAGATGAAAAAAATGAAGGCTACAACAAGTGAGATGAAGGAAAATGCAGAGGGAATCAATAGTGATGGGAAGAAAACTGGGACTCAGATCAATGGAGTGGACCAGAAGGAAGAAAGAAACAACCAAACAGAAAAGAATGAAGAAATAAGAATTAGAAAAAAAAATGAGAGGCTTAGGAACCTCCAGGACATCTTTAAATGTTCCAACATCTGAATTATAGGGGTACCAGAAGGGGAAGAGGAAGAGCAACAAGTGGAAAGGTTATTTGAACAAATAATAAAGGAGAACTTCCCCAATCTGGCAAAGGAAAGAGACTTCCAGGAAGTCTAGGAAGCTCAGAGAGTCCCAAAGAAGTCGGACCCAAGAAGGAACATACCAAGGCACACCATAATTACTTTACCCAAGATTAAAGAGAAGGAGAGAATCCTAGAAGCAGCAAGAAATAAGGAGACAGTAACCTACAAAGGAGTTCCCATAAGACTATCAGTTGATTTCTCAAAAGTGACCTTGTGGGCAAGAAGGAACTGGAAAGAAGTATTCCAAGTCATGAAAGGCAAAACCCTACATTCAAGATTGCTCTATCCAGCAAAGCTTTCATTTAGAATGGAAGGGCAGATCAAGTGCTTCTCAGATAAGGTCAAGTTAAAGGAGTTCATCATCACCAAGCCCTTATTTTATGAAATGTTAAAGGGACTTATCTAAGAAAAAGAAGATAAAAAACTTGTACAGTAAAATTACAGCAAACTCACAATTATTAACTACCACACCTAAAACAAAAACAAACTAAGCAAACAGGTAGAACAGGAACAAAAGCACAGAAATGGAGATCACATGGAGGGTTAGCAACAGGGGAGTGGGAGGAAGAGAGAGGGGGAAAAGGTACAAAGAATAAGTAGCATAGATGGTAGGTAGAAAATAGACAGGGGGAGGGCAAGAATAGTATGGGAAATGTAGAAGCTAAAGAACTTATGACACATGGACATGGACTAAAATGGGGAGATGTGGGTGGGAGGGGGTGTGCAGGATGGAGGGGAATGAAGGGAAATGGGACAACTGTAATAGTATAATCAATAAAATATATTTTAAAATGTATTTCTTCACCAAATTAGGGAAGTTTTCTTTATTATTATTTCTTGAACATTTTATTTATTTATTTTTAGAGGGGAAAGGAAGGAGAGAGGGGGAGAAACAGTGTGTGGTTGCCTCTCACACGTCCCCTGAAGGGGACCTGGCTTGCAACCCAGACGTGTGCCCTGACTGGGAGTTGAACCACAACCCTTTGGTTTGCAGGCCCATGCTCAGTCCACTGAGCTACACCAGCCAGGGCTCTTTCATTATTCTTTCAAATAGATTTCCCATTTCCTGCTCTTTCTCTTCTCTTTCTGATACCCCTATGATGCAAATGTTTGAACACTTGAAGTTGTCCCAGAGGCTGCTTACTCAATCCTTGTTTTTTTTTTTTTAATTCTTTTCTCCTCTTATTCTGATTGCTTGTTTTTTGCTTCCTTATGTTCCAAATCATTGATTTGATTCTTGGCTTCATTCACTCTACTGTTGTTTCCCTGTAAATTGTTCTTTATTTCAATTAGTATATCTTTCATTTCTGACTTGATCTTTTTTATGCTGTTGAGGTTTCTTGAACATCCTTATAACCAGTATGTTGAACTCTGCATCTGATAGCTTGTTTATCTCCATTTTGTTTAGTTCTATTTCCAAGGTTGCCCTATCCAGCAAAGCTATCTTTTAGAGTTGAAGGGCAGATAAAAAGCTTCCCAGACAAGAAACTGAAGGAGTTCATCATCACCAAACCATTATTATATGAAATGTTAAAGGGACTTATTTAAGGAAAAGATCAAATCTATGAACAATAAAATGGCAATAAATACATATCTACCAGCAATTGAATCTAAAAAACAAATTAAGCAAACAAGAAGAACAGAGACAGAATCATGGATACAGAGAGCGTTTTGATGGTTGCCAGATGGGAGGGGTATGGGGGAATGGGTGAAGACATAAGGGCATTAAGAAGTACAAATAGGTAGTTACAGAATAGCCATGGTAATATAAAGTACAGTACAGGAAATGGAGGAGCCAGAGAACTTATATGCATGACCCATGGACATGAACAATGGTGTGGGGATTGCCTGAGGTAGTGGTGGGTGCTGGATGGAGGGGGCAAAATTGGGACAACTGTAATAGCATAATCAATAAAATATACTTTAAAATATATAATGCAAAAAAAAAAAAAAAGGATCTCTCTCGGCCATTTCCCATGGATCTCCTCACCTTCCTGTCTATCCACCAGCCAGACTGCTAGGTGAAAGTGAGGCAGAGAAGCATTCCAAAATCTGGAATTTCAGTTTGGTGGCTCACACATTGATCCCTCCTCATTCCTTCTCTCAGTCTGCCCCCTGCTGGGTTATGCTGGGTCAGCCAACAGTGGTTTGGCAGTAACCACTGGGTTGAGAGAAGAGCAGGGAGGGGCTACCATGGAAGACAGGGAGCCACACAAGGCTTGCAGAGTCTGGCTTCAGGGTTTGACCAGGAAAAGAACAGCATAGATCAGGTCCTAGAGAAGATGAGGGTCAGCTTTGGGGTTTGTGTGAATGGGCTCAGGACTGTTTTAAGGTTGGGAGAGTGGAGAAGGATTGATGGAGAAAAGGAGAGCAGGTGCAGCTGCCAAGAGGAAAAGCATCAAAAAGGTGCAAGTCAGTTCTATTAAGGAGAAGAAAACTCTCCTTCCTGCTTTCAGAATTACCAAAGAATATAAAACAACTATTAGATTTCTTATTATATATGGGGTGTGGGGTGTGAAAAATGAAGAAACTGCCAAAAGAAGGGTCCAGAGAAAGGTAGATCATTTGGCTAAGTTCAAGTATGAATCAGGATACAGCTTTATTAATGGCAGCCAGGACTTTGGCTCCCTCTGGGGCTCCTGGAAGCTTATCCTAGGAGGGCTGAGCTTTTGGAATGGTCAGTAATGTTAAGGCTAACACAAAAGTGGAACCTTCCCCTGGTCTTCCCAATATCCCTCTATACAACCCCATAAACTGCTACTCTTACAACCCAAATCTTTCCCAAAGTAACTGTAGTCCTAATGTTCTCCCATTCTTTCTGGGTTCTCCATTTAACAGGACTTCTGTAGGGGCTTATACTCCCGTTTCACTTCCCTCGTATTCCCTAATCTTTGGATGTAGAAGTTTTATGGGTGAAGCTTGGTAGGCCATGATAGGGTTTCAACTGCCTTTGAATTACCACAATATTTCCATATTGGTCCTGATTTGCAGTTTCCCTCCTTTGTCTGGTGACCTTAACTTATTAAATTGATATTTAAGAGTCTACAATGTACCAGGCACTGGAGATAGAGTCAACAGCACCAAAAAGTTGCATATAGGATCAGATTCAGGTGTCCTGGTTCCTAGTTTTCTAGCATCCTGTAGGGATGCTAGAACTTACAACCTCAAGTAAATTATTAAAGGAGACCCCTCCTTTATGAAATCACTAGGAATTAAGGTGAGGTTAACTTTCTTTTTTTCTTTATATTTTTACAGCTTTAATGAGGTACAATTGACATACAGTAAACTGCATGTATTTAAAGAGTACAATCTGACATTTTGACATATGTATATACCCATGAAATCATACAATCAAGGTAATAAATTTATCCATCACTCCAAAAGAGTTTCCCTGTCTCTTTTTAAAAAATCCTCCTTATACTCCTTCCCTCAAAATCACTGAAAATTCTAGAAGGTATGTTAGTCCATAGTAAGTTTTGATTTAGAACAAAAAAATGAGCTCATGACCTGATGAAGACTCAAGTGTTGGAGTGGTTGAAATTAGGAACCAAACGCTTGACCTTGAAGTTACCTTGAAGTCCCACCATTGCTGGCAGCAAAGCAGCATGGAAAGAACCCTAGTGTCAGGAGAAGGTTGACATCTTCCCTAGGGTCGAAATCCACAAAGTAATTGGTCATGGTCCAGTTCAACAGGTATCTGGGATATTGGTAGGCTGGCACCTTCAGGCCTATGGTTTGAGTGGGTGTCATGGGGAGGAGTACACTGAAGGTTTAAGTTAGATGAGAGACTTATTCATATTTATGAAAGCACTCTTTTTGTATACTGGTTATAGGTTTAATTGTCTTGTCACTGCTGCTAGACTGAGAACTCCTGCAAGGGTTTTATGTCATCAGTACCTAACAATCTCTGAACAGCATTCAAATATTTATTGATCAAATACATGATCATTTAGGTCCTAGCCAACTAACTATAAATGCTGTATTTGCTGCTAGTACCTACTTTGGGTATACTGCTCTAAAGTTTGTGCTTTCTCATGAGACTGAATGTGAGTAATCAGCTTGGTTGAGATTGGCAATCTGGAAGGTTCAAGGCTTTGAAAGAAGGAACATAACTAGATCAGAGAGAGAGGCAGAAAGATGCCATTTTGGGAGGTAGGGAAATTTTCCCTCTGTTCATCTTCTGCAACACCAAAAGTGTGGGGTCTCTGCTGTCTTTGGGGTAGAGGGTGGCAGAGCACAGATAGAGTGAGGACTTAGGTAGGCTTTGGATCCTAGTAGCCCGCGCTTTTTTCCCAGGGAGAGCCTCATTCCAAGTAGAAACCTCTTTATGCAGTCAGATCCTTGGTCCACACTGTCTCATTTCCAGCATGCCTCTACCCTACGCCCATAACCACAGCAAGGGGTTAGAGCAGTAATGAGAATGCTCAGATCCAAGGTCTCCACTCCAGACCCAATCACTGGAGGAGTGACTCTCCAGAGCCTTGACTGAGTCCCTCCCTCTCCTGCCCCAGGCTCCACCTATCCCCTCATCTAGGTCCTGGCGGGCTCACCCAGAAGGGGGCGGCTCCAATTCCAGTGCCTGGCTGGACAGAATTCTTGCCCGGGTGGAGCTGCGGCACTGACCAACAGCTGTGTAGTCTTGATGGAGCCTTGCCAGGCCCCTTCTCCCACTTCCCCAGCCCATCCTCTGAGCGCCTTCTCCTGTCTCAGGCAACCGTGCTGGTAAGTTGTGCTCTCCGTACCAAACTTTTCTGCTGCCAAGATGTAGTTCTACGGTGGGACCAGGAGCTATATTGTAGTTGGTGGTGGTGGTTTGGGGCGGGGGTAGGGTGGGGGGTGGGTAGAGATATGAAGGATTGAGAATAGCCATCTTGAAATGAACTATTTATGACTAAAATGGATTGGATCTCACCCATTTCCCGAGATGGTAAAACTTGGAGAGGGAACTTCGCTTCCCCCTCCCCCATTTCTCTCAGATTAAGCAGTTCACGGTACTTCCCTTCCGTATTTCAAGTCTCTTTGGCTTCCTAATAGCTCATCCCTTCCTCACTCCGACGTGGCAAAACCCCCCTCTTGTAGGCACCTCTGGCTCGCCTCCTCTCTCCTTAACCCCAGGGGACCCCGCGATCTTTCTAGGAGCACACTTCCTCCGAGCCCACCCGTCTCAAATCCCAGCCAAAGACTTGCGGAGCTGAGTCCAAAGTGGTGGGAGGGGCCAAGGTTAAAGTATGTTGGGAGCCCCGCGGGCAGGCAGGCGGGCGGGGCCTGCTAGGGGAGGTGTAGGGGCCGGACGGGGCGGAGCAGGCGGCAATTTGCGGCCAGCTCCGGGGTGGTGAGTTGTGCGTTGGTCCCTGGGCCTGAGCTTGAGCTCGGGCTCTCTCGCTTGCGATGTCTCAAGATGGCGGAGCTGGGCGAATTAAAGGTACTGGTCCCCTCCCCCATTCCTATCTGGACAGAGCCTGGTGGTCCGCCGAGTCAGGGGAGCGACTGAGACTGGGTCCTGAAGGTTGGGGTGGAGACGTGGCGGAGACCGGCTGCTAGAGATGGGAGAGAAGTGGCTGTGGGCAAAGGGGCTGCGGCGAGGCTCCGGGGGCGGGGCCCGCTGGGCAGATGGAGGGGTGGGGCCGAGGGGGAATTGCCTCGTGGGGGCCGAAGCTCAGGGGGCGGGGACGCGGGGTAAAAGTCGGATTTGGTAGTAGACGCAGAGGTAGTGATAAGGACCAGAGGGAAGAGCTGCTGTAGAGGCGTAGAGGGCGAGTTTATCAAGGCCAAGAGATGCGACGGTAGGGGTAGATGTAGAGAATAGTACTGGGGGGCTGACGTACTAGAGGCTTTTCTGGGAAGTGCAGCTGAAAGGTGGAGGCTTTGAGGGTGCTATTGGGATCTGAACCTTGGGAAGGACCAGTGGGCGGCTGAGGTCTAGGGGGCGGGGCTGTGTGGGCTCTAGATCCAGGGGTGGGGCAGAGGTAGCCTGGAGCCCCTTTGAAGATGGGAAAGTCCTGCTTCTGTGAGTCGGTATCTTTGGGCAGAGACCTAGGGCTGTGAAACTATGGGATAGAAAGATGCAAGTTCTTGACGAAGCTAGTAGGGAAATAAAGACAAGACAGAGGAAATAAGGATGGGCAGAAAAGCAGATGAGCAGGTTTTTCATCACCTCAAAAAGGGCCTAAAGCCATAAAGCCTCCTATGAGGGGAAGAATGTGGAGAGCTAGCAAGACCTGCCCAAGTCAGGGTCTGCTAGAGATTCACAGAAGGGATTCACTGTTAAACACTTTGCCCTAAGTTTTGGTCTTGTTTCCCTCTCAGATAAGTAGGACTGATGGAAGGGTGTTTATATAAATGACTCTGAGAAAAGGATTTGGGGGAGTTAAAAGCATTGAATCTGACCTGAAAACCCTGGCCACAAAAGCTTCAGAAGGTTGGGGAAAATAGCTGAGGTGGACTGAGGTGTTGGGAGGTGAGGGCAATGGGACACAATCCTCCAGCCATCTATCCCTTTTCTTCCCTGTGGGCTGTCTGGCCTGAAATCTCTTCTACCCATTCGTTTCCCTGTCTCCTACCCTCTTCCCAGGAGGCTGGGATGGGCCTGAGAGTCTGAGAAAGAGCAGGAGAGGAAATAAGCAGCTTATAGTAGAGTTCAGGCTGCAGGGGTGTGGACATAGGAGGCTGTAGTGGGCTAAGAGGTGTGCCTGAGGATGGCTTGCTGGCTGTACCCTGCTCTAATTTGATCAACTTCCAGGCATGGGGAGATAGGGTTGCTTAAGCTCTGTGGGTAGTGGTGAGGTTTACCTGAGGGTTGCTAAAGTGAGACTGAGATATCCCTTTGGCCAGGTTGACTGTCTGGCAGTATACTACTAGCTGGAAAGCATCTTTGTGATCAGTGCTGGAAAGAAGCATTGCCCATCCAGTAACTCAGCTTCAGTGTCCTTGGCAGGACAGGCCTATGTGAAATAGTATTCTCAAATTTCTCTGTTCTCTACAGCACATGGTGATGAGTTTCCGGGTGTCTGAGCTCCAGGTGCTCCTTGGCTTTGCTGGCCGGAACAAAAGTGGACGGAAGCACGAGCTCCTGGCCAAGGCCCTGCACCTCCTAAAGTCCAGCTGTGCCCCCAGTGTCCAGATGAAAATCAAAGAACTTTACCGCCGACGCTTCCCCCGGAAGACACTTGGGGCCTCTGATCTCTCCCTACTCTCTTTGCCCCCTGGAACCCCTCCTGTAGGCTCCCCTGGTTCTCTAGCTCCCATCCCCCCAGTCCTCTTGGCCCCTGGTACCCTGCTGGGCCCCAAGCGGGAAGTGGACATGCACCCCCCTCTGCCCCAGCCTGTGCATCCTGATGTCACCATGAAACCATTGCCCTTCTATGAAGTCTACGGGGAGCTCATCCGGCCCACCACCCTTGGTATGGCTCTTTGTGGTCCTTCAGTCTTCCTGGACTCCATGCCTGTTTCCCAAGCCTTTCGAAGTCTTGAGTCCTGTGGGATCATCAGCCTGGGATGGGGGTAACTTCTGTGGCTGCCTGTGCATGGGCTTGGGATTAACTACCTCTTTGTGTTCTCAGCATCCACCTCTAGCCAGAGGTTTGAGGAAGCGCACTTTACTTTCGCGCTCACACCCCAGCAAGTTCAGCAGATTCTCACATCCAGGTACATCTCTTCGGTCCTCTTGCCTCATTCCAGGGTTGGTGACCTCTGGACTCGGCTCTTTCTTCTCTTTTGCCCTGTTCTCCTTCCTATCCATCCTCCTGCACCTGTGTTGTCTCTTCATTCTCTCAAATGTCTTTGCTATCCCCTGGACATCTAATTTTCTATGTTTCTGTCTGTTCACCCCTGCCCTCCGGGAGGGCCACATACTGACACCTCTCCCTCCCCCTCCCTGACAGAGAGGTTCTACCAGGGGCCAAATGTGATTATACCATACAGGTACAGCTAAGGTGAGTTGATTTTCCCTTCCTCCCTGTCAGCCTTCCTTCAGGGGTGGGAATGAAATACGAGAATGACAGATACCCCTAGGAGATATCCCTCCTACCGCTATTGAATGCTGAGGGGTTCAGCCCAAGAAACTGCCCCCATCCTTTTATCTTCTCTCATCTCTTCCTAGGTTCTGTCTCTGTGAGACCAGCTGCCCCCAGGAGGACTATTTCCCTCCCAACCTCTTTGTCAAGGTCAATGGGAAACTGTGTCCCCTGCCGGTAAATACTTTTCTTTTTCTGGCAGCAACCCCTTCTGTTTAAGTTCCTACATGTTAACTAAAAAACCCTATTATGAAAGAGACGTGCTTAGCACAGTGCCTGGTACATAGTATGTGCTCAGTTTCCTGATTGAATCAATATAATTGAGAGAGTACTAAGACAGGACTGAACAAGGGTTCTGTCAGAACCCAGAGGAGTGATATTAGTTCAACCCAAATGTTCAGGAAAGGCTTCTTAGAAGTGATGAATCCAGAACTGAGAGTTGGACCAAGTGTGACATCCCTATTCTTCCTCCTCCAGGATTCAGTGAGTGGGTTCCTATTTCATTGGTCAATGAATAAGCTCTTTTACCCCCAGGAATGAACCCCATAGACAATAATAGTGCTCCAGTTTTTTGAGTCACTGAATAGGCCCCCATGTCCTTGATCAGTAAGCTGGCCTTCCCTCCAGGGAGTGAGTAACCTGAGACAAGATGTCTTGACCAGTCCCTCCCTTCCCCAGGGTTACCTTCCCCCTACCAAGAATGGGGCTGAACCCAAGAGGCCCAGCCGCCCCATCAACATCACACCCCTGGCTCGACTCTCAGCGACTGTTCCCAACACCATCGTGGTCAACTGGTCGTCTGAGTTTGGACGGGTGAGCATGGCTGTGTCAGGGAGGATGGAGAAGCCTGCAATGCAGGGAATGAGGAGGAATCACCCAAGTGTTTTGAGTTTGGGAAACTTCTTCCTCTTCATGGGTTTCTCTGCCTTGGTCCTCATGGGACAAAGGGTGGGGGGCAGGTGTGCAAAGCAGAGGCTAATTGTCTCCCTCTACCTCCAAGTAGAATTACTCATTGTCTGTGTACCTGGTGAGGCAGTTGACTGCAGGGACCCTTCTACAAAAACTCAGAGCAAAGGGCATCAGGAACCCAGATCACTCCCGAGCACTGAGTGAGTAGCATCCTATCCCTCTTCCCCACTCTGATCTGGGTCTAAGTCTTCCTGGCCCTCTAGCCTTTTTAGCGTACAAATCCATACCCTGACAGTTTACCTCACCTCTCACATTAACCTCAGTCTTCGCCTTATACCCCTTACTGGTCTTAGTGGTTGAAGAATCGGACCTTGTATTCCCAATTATATACATCTGCTTTACTCCTCCCACACCCTAACTCTGGCTCTACTGGAATATAGGTTCTTTGGTCTGGAAAGAATCTTAAGGATCATCTACTCCAACCCTCTCGTGATGCTTTTTTTAAAGTTTTTTAACAATTTTTATTTTTAGAGAAAAGAGAAGGAAGAAAGAGAGAGACAAACACCAATGTGAGAGAGAAATAGCAATTGGTTGCCTTCTATATGGGCCCCCACTGGGGACTGAACCTACATGTACCCTGACTGTGAATCAAACTAGCAACCTTTTTCCCCTTAATTTTTAAAAGATTTTATTTATTTTTCAAGAGGGGCAGGGAGGGAGAGAGACATCAATATGTGGTTGCCTCTCATGCATGCTCCACACTGGGGACCTGGCCCACAACCCAGTCATGTGCCCTGACTGGGAATTGAACTGGTGACCTTTTAGTTCGCAGGCTGGTGCTCAGTCCACTGAACCACATGAGCCAGGGATGAACTGGCAACCTTTTTGTTTGTGGGAAGATGCCCAACCAACTGAGCCACACCAGCTGGTGCCCTCTTGTGATGCTTTAATTCCTTCTAGGTCATCTGTGCCAAAGTGTCACAAAGCTATATTTAAGTATCTTCGGAGATGGGGAAATCTCACCCACCCACTCACCTACCTGGCCTTCATAATTCAGATCCCAGACTACCCCCATGTGACAGCCCACTGGCCACCGCCCCCCCCCTCCCCAAGCTATCTGCTTCTGGCCTCACCACCTCCCAGGCTTCCTCTCCAGCCTTGCTGACTCTATTTCTCTGGCTTCACTTCTGTTTCAGTCAAGGAGAAACTGACTGCTGACCCCGACAGTGAGGTGGCCACTACAAGTCTCCGGGTGTCACTCATGTGCCCGGTGAGTACAGGGGAGAAGTGGGGAGGAGGGTTGGGTTAAACTTCTGGACTCAGAGGGGGTTCAGGCATACTAGTGTGCGGCTTTCTGGGACATGAGGATTCTGACCAGAGAACTCATCTCTCCTCAGCTAGGAAAGATGCGCCTGACTGTCCCTTGTCGTGCTCTCACCTGCGCCCACCTGCAGAGCTTCGATGCTGCCCTGTATCTACAGATGAATGAGAAGAAGCCAACGTGGACATGTCCTGTGTGTGACAAGAAGGCTCCTTATGAATCTCTTATCATTGATGGGTAGGACCTTTCTGCATTCTGCTTTCTCTTACCTAGGACAGCCACTAGTTTCTTCTCTCTCATATGTGTATGTGTGTATAGATATATGTATATATGTGAGTGTGTATATATACATATATGTGTGTACTCTAACCCCTTTAATAATATTTCCAACACTGAGGACTAGTATAAGTCTACTATATACTAGGCATGGTGTTGAGCGCTTTGCATGCCTTATCTGAGTCCTCATAACTCTGACATAGATATTGCTGTTATCACAAGTGAGGAAACTGAGGCCTAGGGAGATTGAGTATTTTGCCTGAAGTTACATGGTTAATAAGTGGCAAAACTACTATATCGAACTAGTAATATTGCTTATAACTGCCTGGCCTCTCACTGAGCATAGCAATAAAGTTCTTTTGAGGGCTTGAATATGCTGATCTAGGTAGTCCTAATCCCCTTCCAGAACATTCATTATGGTCCTTGTTCCCAGTGCCCTTTTTAAGGTGGTTTTTGGAGTTCTCTATCTCCGCTCCTTATTTTGTCCCTAGTATTACATGAAATATGTGCTTAGAATATATTTATTTTAAAGCTTAGTATTAAAGTTTGCAAAGCTCTTTTATATACTGTACTTGATTCTAACAACAGCTCAGTTCAGTAGGATGGATAATATCCCTATTTTACAGATGAAACCTGGCTACTGTCTCAGCCCCATAAATTCCCTTCTCTCCCTTCCTCCAGTCTATTCATGGATATTCTTAAGTCCTGCTCGGATTGTGATGAGATCCAGTTCATGGAAGATGGATCCTGGTGCCCAATGAAACCCAAGAAGGAGGCATCTGAGGTTTGCCCCCCGCCAGGGTATGGGCTGGATGGTGAGTGATCCCTTGTCTCCGAGCTGAGCTAAGTCTTGAATGGCCTCTTCTCTGAGACACAGTATTCTTACCACCCACAGGCCTCCAGTACAGCCCAGTCCAAGAGGGCAATCCACCAGAGAATAAGAAGAAGGTTGAAGTTATTGACCTGACAATAGAAAGCTCATCAGATGAGGAGGACCTACCCCCAACCAAGAAGCACTGTCCTGTCACCTCAGCTGCCATCCTGGCCCTACCTGGAAGCAAAGGGTATGAGGAAATAGGCTGACTCTATAACAGAAGGGACAGAGGAAAAAGTCAGGAAAGCTTTCTGGTCCCAGGGCAAAGCCTGGTGCATAGAGGGGACTTGGGAGGCTGAGCTGGGTGAGGGCATCTGTGGTTTGTTTGCTGGCTGCCCCAGTTCCTTGTCTCTCCTCACAGAGTCCTGACATCTGGTCACCAGCCATCTTCAGTGCTACGGAGCCCTGCTGTGGGCACATTGGGTGGAGATTTCCTGTCCAGTCTCCCACTCCATGAATACCCACCTGCCTTCCCATTGGGGGCAGACATCCAAGGTAGGACACTGACTGTAAAACGGGACCCTAAACTGCCATGTCCTTCCCAGAATCAGATCATGCCCCAGCTCCTTTTCAAAGCTTTCTGGCTCTCTTTGCAAAGGGCCACAATCCAAGGAAATTTTCTGTTTTTGGTGGTAAAGGGGTCAGACAGGAGGTTGATTTTAATTTTTTTCTTACCAGGTTTAGATTTATTTTCTTTCCTTCACACTGAAACTCAGGTAAGTGATCCCTTTTCTTACGAAGATCTCAGATCTCTGAAGATTCCTTCTGGACACTAATGGGCACCCTCCCTCTCTTATTTCCCCTGGAGATCTAAATCTATTTCTCTGTGAGGGGTTGGTGAAGGCAGTTTATTTCCCTCTGAGGCCCTACTAGTACTTCCTCAGATTTTCAGCTATGTCTTCCTCGATCCCTGTTACTGTTCTGTCTCCAGAGATTTTAGTGTAGTTCTACCCCTTGCCCGCTCACCCTCCATGCCCATGTGTACTTGAGCACCATGCCTGTTGCAACAGGACATTCCATATATTTGGATACCTACAAGGCCAAGAAACTAGCAAGGTGGAGGGGCTGTCTCAAGACAGGGAATCAGGGTAGGGCATAGGGAAGCAGGGAATCAGAGAGAGGCTCTCCTTCTCAGAGAATACCTGGGGTCCAGAGGGGTTTATTTATCACGTATGATATTTCTGATATGAGTGATGGGGGGGGGGAGCAGGTAAAGGATAAAATCTTAAACTTTGCCCTTGATTCCTCCCAGCACTATGGTCCTTCCGTCATCACCTCGCTAGATGAACAGGATGCCCTTGGCCATTTCTTCCAGTATCGAGGGACCCCTTCTCACTTCCTGGGCCCACTAACCCCCACATTGGGGAGCTCTCACCGCAGCACTACTCCAGCATCCCCTCCTGGCCGTATCAGTAGCATTGTGGCTCCTGGGGGGGCCTTGAGGGAGGGGCATGGAGGGCCCCTGCCCTCAGGTCCCTCTTTGACTGGCTGTCGGTCGGACATCATTTCCTTGGACTGAGTTCCCTGGATTGTGGAACCTTCACTGTCTCCCAGTGCTGAACAAGTATGCTCTGGAGTCTAGATCCCTGGCCACTTTTGAACCCTTAGAGGCTTTGGCCAAAGGCTGGAAAGACATTCATGGACACTTGTTTTTGGTGTCATCTCTGTCTGACAGGGCCAGCACCCAAAGGGTTAATATTTAACCTCTTTTGAAGGACATTTGGGTTCTATTTTTTGAAATGTTTTTTAGATGGCTGGCATGTTCCTTTGGGTACGTTAACTTAGGCAGTGGTAGGCAAATGGGATGTGGTATGAGTTGGGGAAAGGGCTGAACTCTCATCTTTGACTATCTATAGCCTTGTGGGAAAGGGGCCCTTCTGTTGACCCCCCAGATGCCCTCTCTTCCCACTTCCCAAACCCATGGCTTAGTTCCTTCCCCATAGTCATTGTTTCTTCATGTCCATTCTGTTCTCTTTGGTCAAACAGACAAGCGGAGAAACTGAGATAGACTCATGGACAAAGAACTCTATTTTGGTTTGCAGATTTTTTACTTAAACAAGGAAAACCAAAATACATCCAAAGATGACTTCCCCTGCTTCCTACTTCCCGGCATGCCTGAGGTGGAGATAGGCCTTAGCCTTGATTCCCAGGGGTTTAGGAGCAGGGCCTGGCCTATTGCCTGGGGCCCTCTCTATTTATATATTAAGCTCACAATGTTTCTTATGCTGACCAGCCCAGGGTTGGAGCTTCAAAAGGCCCATTGCCCTGTGGTGAGGTCTGGCTCATTCTGCACCTTTCCTGGGAGGTGGGATGACCCTTCTGCTCTCCCCAATCTCTTTTTTTCAGGCTCCTCCAGGGCCTAGAACCTCTGTTGTAATTTTACTTTTTATTCCCAAAGTTGTAGCAAAGTTCTTAGCCACAATAAAGGTTGTGAATCTTCTGTGTCATACAGGTAGACTGGAGAGGGGATTATGCACTGGCTTTCCAGATCCCTGGTTTGTGGGGAAGGAGTCCTTTTTAAGGCTCAGGATCCAAATGAGCTCAAGTTTCACATGGTAGAGGTGCCACACTGAGGACTTCCAAGAGCATTAGTTTCTTCTTACCCCCTCCCCAAGTGCCCACAAAAGCACTAATACATTTAGCCCAACCGTGTGGAGCCCTCCTGCCCTTCTTCACCCTTATCTGCACAAATGTTGCAGCCAGAGCCTGAGGGCAAACTTCGTCCCAGTGCTGACCCTTTCTTTGACTTCTGCGGTGGTTGGGGTTGTCTGCAGCAGTGTGGACATGGGCAAGGCCAGAGGTCGAGCTCTTCCATCCTCCTCTAGTTCCACCGCACTACATAATGATAGCTCCTGTCTAGGCTGTGCCTTGTGGCTTAGCCCACTTTCATATCCATTGTCATAATCCTTCCAACTATCATAGGAAAAGGGTGGGTGGGTGTTAACCTCATTTTACAGAAAGAAAATAGGTTCAAGGAGGGTTAATGACTTGCCCCTATGGCAGAGTAGGACACAAACCCAGGTCTTTAGAAAGGCTAGCCATTCAGAGCAGGAACCCTTGGAATTTGATGTACAGTATCTTTGATCTCAAGTGCTCTCTTCAATTAGTTGACCGATTCACCACTTAAAACTCCCACCACACAAATCACCCCTCCTACTGAGAGAGAGAAGCTGAACTTCTCAATGTGTATGTGTTGGTGTGCCTGCAGGGTCAGGGAAAAGCTTTTACTTACAGGACAGAGGGTGGTAGGTCCTGGGAGAGATGTCTGGGTGTCTCTGTCCCATCCTCTGTGGCAGCCACTGCAGCTGCTACATCTGTGTCCAGCCATATATAGGCGCTCACCTCACTTGGATTTGGTTGGATCCGTGCCTGGGGCCAGACATGTTGATTCCTTTATAATGGCTTGTCTCACAAAGCCTGTTCTGATCACAATCTACCCACAGGTGGAATGGAGAGAAACTTGGGGTAGGAGTCAAGGCTAATGGATTTCTCTGACTTTCCCCCTCCCCCACCGTAGTCATAGTCAAAACCAGTCTGGGTCTTCTGTGCCCCCATATCCTCCCCCCACTGCCAACCCTACCTGCAGCTGCTGCTGTGACTCCTGGGAGACCACGAGTATATAGACAATGATGTGATGGTATTTGGGGAGACCCCAGCTCAGCCTAGGAGGGTAGGCAGACTAAGAAGAAAATGGCAAAAATGAGAACTTCCTGTTTCTTTCTGAGACTCTAAATATAGCCAAGGAAGTGGAGGATAGAGATGGTAGAGGGTAGGGATGGTACAGGACAGACACAGGTGAGGACTGAGGGGTTGGGAACTCCAAACCACCCACTCTCCATTATTTTTCCTGTGGCTGAAACAGGAAAAACTGTTTATGGGACTTAGTGGGGTACAAGTTGAGGGTTCTTGGTTAAATAGGGAGGGGCCTCTCCCAGGTCCCTGTCTCACCTCCCATAACCCCAGAGGGACCCAAGAGAACTGGCCCTGGGGCAGCTGTAGTCTGGTCTCCTCACAAAGCTCTCGAAGCCCTCCGTCCAGCAGCTGGCAGAAAGAGGTTGAGTCAGAGAGCCAGTGCCTAAACCTCCAAGTCCTTGGTTTATCCCTTTCTCAGGCCACACCCAGGGTGGTCCCAGATAGGTCTTTGGGTTCAGGACAGGGTGCAGGTTGGGTCAGCTGAATAGCTAGCTACCTCTTCATCAAGTTCCACGTGCCCACCTGCAACAACAGTGAGTCCAACAGTGAATGGTGGTATTCTTGGCCAGGGGCCACCACTCACTATTTACATTGCCCCCTCTAGTGGGCACAGACGCAGTTGCAGCCTCCTGTGATTAGGGAAGAGACCACATCTCTGTGCCTACTGTATTTCTGAAACTGGTAATGGCATGTTGAGTGAAGAGCAAGTTTTTTTCCCAGGACTCGGGGCCTTGACCTTAGGGTGCTCACCTGGGGGTACCCAGAGGTTGGGGGATACTCTGAGGGTGCGTGTCCTTCGGGTCAACAAGACAGTCTTGTCGCTGGACTGCAGGATGATTGCCACACCCAGATCCACACCTCGATTCTTGGGCAGCTTGGTTTCCGGAGGCATGGGTTGCTGGTTCAGGGCCGCAAAAGGGCAGAAAGGGGGTCGCTGGCAGGAGGGAATCCCTTGGTTAAAGTTGTAGCAGTGGGGTGGAGCCTTTGAAAATTGGGCGATAACCGTGCAGGTTGGGGGAGGAGGCTAAGGCGGGGCGATAGCCCGGGTCCCAGACCTCCCAGGTAGCTCTCAACGGGTCCAAGGCCCAGGCCATACCTACAGCCCTTCCATCACTCCCCACCGCTGGAGTCCTAACCTGGAGCGGAAGCCTGGCCGAGGCGCCCAGGAATGGCCTGTCTGAAAGGAGGAGCTGTCCTCGCTGCAAGTTACAGTATGTGAGCCATGGCCCAAGCCCTGCCCCGGCGCCTAACAGGCCACACACACTCTGCGCGAAGCTCACCGACTCCCGGCGCCCGGAAAGAAGCAGCCGCACTCGCGCCGCGGCCATGATGTGGCTGTAATTCGTTGCGTCTTGGTTGGCGCCCTCTGGTGGCCCACGGCGCCTCCCCTGGGTCCGCGGGGTTGAAAGGAAGGCAGACTTCCCCAACGTCCCCGGGAAATTTAGGCATAACATTTGGGGATGAATCATCAGTGTAATATTAATAAATGACAAAAAAAAGACCACCTCTAAACCGTCAGCTCCTCTTTTCTTCCCATCTTTAGGACAATGATCCCCAGACCACATGATTTCTGGATTCTCATGTTCCCTGCCCCCCAACGGCCTCGGGCTGAACTATAAGCACCCTTCCACAATGCTCTGTGCACTTGTTACAGCAGGGATCGCGTCAAATTAATTACACCTGTCTCCTAATTAGATACGCAGGGAACATTTTTGACACCTACCCTTTACTTCGCCTCAAATCTAACAGGATTCATATGCCTTTTTTTCTAGTTATATCCTATTTGCAATTCCCCCTAAAACCACTCTGCTTCTCTCTGGGATCCCTGTCCCCTTCCATCTGGCAAATCCTCATTTTTCAAACTACAGATCAAGTGACACTTTCTAAATGGTCTCTCTGTACATGATACTTTCCATTATATGCCCCCCCCCCATACTTCTTTGTACTTGTCTCCTCCCACTAGTCTGTATGCACAATGTGTAGTCATCTTTGTATCCCTAAGGTATGGCCTAGTACTGGGTGTATAATATGTGCTCAGTAAATGATGAGCAGCCATCTCATTTATCTTTGTATGTTATACCTAGGATAATGACTAGCAATTAATTGGCACTCAGATGTTTAATTAACTAGAACCAACATTGGTAAGAGGAAACTAGAGATAAAACACTTAACTGCTTCAGGTGAACTGAGGCTGCTATGACAAGTTACATAGACTATATTAATCATGGTACTGAGAAAGCAAGCTTAGAATTGTCACTCTTAAGGAACTATGGAGAAGAGGAAGGCAACAATTTATTGAGTACTTACCATATGCTAGGCTTTATGAAATGTTTTACATACACAATTTCAGCCTGGAGCTGGCAAACGTGGCTTCTACCCATAGATTCTAGAGTGATTGCTTGGGCCGATGCACTTACTAGTGCTGAAAATAGCTTTTTCCCCTACTTGGTGGTAGTCTTTCATATTCTCTACATTGTATGTATATGCATGCATGTGTTTAAGATTACACTGTAACAAAATAGCCCTAGCTAGCATGGCTCAGAGAACTGAATGCGGGCCTGTGAACCAAAGGGTTGCCAGTTCTATTCCCGGTCTAGGGCACATGCCTGGGGTGCAGGCCAGGTCCCCAGTGTGGGGCACCGAGAGGCAACCACGCATTGATGTTTCTTTCCCTCTCTTCCCCCTCTTCCCATCTCTCTAAAAATAAATAAAATCTTTTAAAAAAGATTACATTTCTAACAAAATAGAGAACAGGTATAGCTTTTGGAAAATGGAATTGCGAAGAAATTTCTTCCACTTCCAAGGATATTGTAACACAGGATGAGCCGACTTCTTGGTGGGAACTGATGGATCTGACAGATGGTTACTATAGTTGATTTTAAATTTCTCCTGCCAAGGAGGAATGTAGTGATGGGTCAAAGAAGGATCAGCAAACTTTAAAAAAAATGTCTCACACTTTCTGGTGTATTCTAGGATATGGGGATGAAGGATTTCAGTACAAAAATCTGAAACTTATCCCACTGCAAAGACTGCATCCAGGCACCTCCTTTATTTTTCCTTCCAATCCCTCCAGATTTTTGAGGAAGACTCTTTTTCAGGGTCATTGTCTCTTCATGGTGCTCTCTATGTATGACTCCAGCAAGAAGATAGTTTCATCCACCTGGATCTCACTGGCATCCAACCTGAGTGAAAAGGTGAAAGCATCTTCTCAGACTGAACATTTATTAGCATATTTATGATTAGAGATGGGGCTGGGTGTGGCCATGGAGAAAAGCCTAGTTATCCTTGAGAGTCACTGGTAGAAAGCAGGAGAACCAATAGATCATTCTCCCATTTACTGGGCATCTCTTAAATGCCAGACACTGTGGAAATTGCCAAGAATTCAAAAGATATAGCTTTTGTCCTACAAGAAGTTAAAGTCTTAACTTACAACCAGAAGAAGCAATAGCACATGTAAAGGCCGAGGTATAAAATGATCTAGAGTGTTTTAAAATAGAAGCTGAGAGTGGCTGACACTAAGTGTGTAGTGATTAGGAATAGAAGAGAGCTTTCTCAACATGATTGAAGCCATCTATAAAAACCTCACAGCTAGTATCATATTTAATGGTGAAAAACTGAAAGCTTTATCTTAAGATCAGGAATAAAACAAAGATGTCTGTTTTTCACTTTCATTCAACCTTTTACTGTAGGTTCTAGTGAGGGCAATTAGTTAAAAAAAAGTAAAAGACATTCAGATTGATATGATCCTATATATAGAAAAATCTCAAAGGATCTGCAAAAAAAACCAAACAAACAAGTCAACAAATTCTTTTTTTTTTAAGATTTTATTTCTTTTTAGAGAGAGGAGGAGGGGATAAAGAGGGAGAGAAATATCAATGTGTGGTTGCCTCTCATACGTCCCACACTGAGGACCTGGCCAGCAACCCAGGCATGTGCCCTGGACTGAGAATTGAACTGGCAACCCATAGTTTGCAGGCCCATGCTCAATCCACTGAGCTTTACCAGCCAGGGCGAGTCAATAAATTCTTAAAAGTTGCAGGATATAAAATCAAAACACAAAATTAGTTTTATTCCTATACACTGTCAATTAAGTAAAAAATGAAATAAAGAAAATGCTAAAATAGCATCAAAACATAAAATACTTAAGAATAAATTTAACAAAGGAAGTACAAGACCTGAACATGGAAAATGACAAAACATCATTGAGATATTAAAGACAAATAAAAGGCAAGATGTCCCATGTTCATGGGTTGGAAAATTTAATATTGTTAAGATGGCAACACTCCCCAAAGTAATCTATAGATTCAAAACAATACCTATTAAGGCAAATGGTAAAAAGTAAAAGGAAGTGAAAATGGAGAGATAGGCAGTTATGAATTGTAAAAGGTCCTGAATGTCACACCAAGGAGGCTGGTCTTTATATTATAAACAGGAATTTATAAAGCATTTAAAGTAGGAGAGTGATAATCATTTTAAAGATAATAACTTTGAGAGCTTGTAAGAGATGGTTGGCAGGGGGTGAGGAGGGGTAGTGATGGCGATTGTGAAGACCTAGGAAAGAGGTTATGAAGGCCTGCATAGGGGCCAAGATGAAAGGCCAGATATGAGCCCTGGCTGGTATAGTTCAGTGGATTGAGTGTGGGCTGCAAACCAAAGGGTAGACAGTTTGACTCCTACTCAGGGCACATGCCTGGGTTGCAGGCCAGGTCCCCAGTGGGGGACACGTGAGAGGCAACCACAGGTTGATGTTTCTCTTTCTCCCTCCCTTCCCCTCTCTCTAAAAATAAATAAAATCTTAAAAAAAAGAAAAAGAAAGAAAGGCCAGATTTGAGATACATTACTGAAGTAAAATCACAACTTTGGTGAACAGGAGTGTGTGGTGAGGGAGAAGAAGCTGAGGATGTCTTCAGAGTTTTCAGCTTAGGGAAATAGGTGGATTAAATTCTGTTAACTGAGCTTAAAAGAAGATAGTTTAGGTTTGGTTGTATTAACTTGCAGAGGTGTATTTGTCTTGAAGGTATTTTGAAACATAAGTTTGAAGTGTATGGTGCTTACTTGTTGACATTATGTTTTAGAGTCTCTAGCTGTTGGCGTTCGGGGGCTGTGATCATCTCCTCTATTTCCTGTAGCTGTGCTGCCTCTGCACCTGTAGCTTGCATAGATGCAATGATGGCTTCTACCCTCTGAGACTTTTCTAGGAGACGCCTGTCAGACAAACACAACTCTGAGGCTTGTTCCCTAGCTGTGGAGATTCTTTTTACTCATTAGCCCTGGGGCATAACTCCCCCTTTAGTGCATTCCTGGTCAAAGTGGATAATGTCACCCTCCAAGGATGTTTTCTAGAAACTTAATTAGAAATACGACTTCATTCCTAAAACTCTTATTGTCTCTCATTTGCACTTTAAGTTTGGTGATGGTTTGTACATTTCTCATTAATTTAATATACAAAATTATTTCACTGGGAGTATATTAGAAAAGTATAGGCTAATGCATTATTTATACCAACCTAAGCCAACAATTCAATACAACTTAACTGGTTATTGTCTCTACTGGTTTCTATTTCTATAGGATATTTCTCCTCAAGCCTTTGACCTTGAAAAAAGTATAATTACTAAACTAAAATGCTACTTACTTGTTCTCTTTGGTTTCAAATTGCCTCCTTTCTATCAAGTTGGCTATGCTCTAAGGAGAGAGAAGACAAAAAATGCACATAGTTCCATTTAAGTAGCTCAGGTAAAATGGCTAAAGGAGGCCTGAGAGTAAGACTAGTCTGTGTGGAGGGAATACAGAAAAGGTCCAGAGGAGTTACCTTGTAGCACCTGTGCAGCAACATTCGGGCAGCTGACAGGATGTTCACAGTATATAAATAAAAAGTCCTGGAAGGGGCATGGTCTGGTGTTTTGGGAATTTCCTGCTTGTCCATAGAAAGAAAAATCAGAGAAATTATACTGTTCTTCAGAACTGGCAAAGTAAACATTTGTCCCAGCTGACATTACTATACTCTCTTCTTCCCTTTCCCCCAGTCATTTAGCATCTGTGTTTATGGCATAATCAGACACAAGGAGAACTGGGCTGCCGTTTTTTTCCATTTGACTATAAACAACCTGAGTGGAGAAGAGAAGGCAACTAACATTTACTGAGCAATTTTTTTTGTGCCATGTAGATTATATTTGATCTTTACCACAAACCACATTTTTTTATTACCATCATCCATCACCATTTTATAGATGGGAAAATTAGGGTGGGTAATTTGCTTACTGTAAGTAGGTAAGAGGCAGAGTTATGACTCTAACTCCAAAATCCATTTTACCTCCTTATAGGGCCTATTACATGGCTCTGAACATAGTAAGAACTCACTAGATGTTGTTGATAGATTTCATTGATAATAAACTTAAGGTTCAAGGAAACGGCAAATCACAGAGACGAGGAGCTGAAGAAAAAGGGAGGGGTGATTTCTTGGCTGTGCTTCTTTTCTACTTGGCCAATTAAAGCTCCACAATTATCTTTCAAGTGCTTGCTGTGTCTTTATTAATCTTTTTTTTTTTTTCTGTCTCAGAGCTGGATACAGAATTTGCTTGGGGTTCAGGTGCTTCCCTCAGGAGTTTCTCTCACTCTAGTCCAGTTCTGTTGGTTGATGATTATTACATTATTGGTTACCTGGAGTGATATGAAATTTTCTGAGAGCATCTTATAAAGCATATCCTTTGCCTCCTTTGCTGGAATCATTGCAAAGTCTTCTACCTGCTTCTGTTCCAGGTGTTTCTTTTGCAAAACTAGACGAAATATTCTGGCACAGCGAGACCCAAATCTGGAAAGGAATGAAGAAAGCAAATGTCATGTCAACATATATATCAGCTTTAGCTCCTAGTCACAGATGGTGGTTGCTGTTTGCATGTGTGGAGCCAGGACCAGAGAAGAACAGCAATCAGAGAATTCTTTCACAACTCCACAGGTTGATGATGGTGTTGTTAATCATAAGGTAGTCACCAACTGCTGACACCTGAGCACCTCAGTTCATGCCCTGGTAAATTAAAGCTTTAGGAAGGCTGGTTAATTGGTACCATTGGGAATTAAGCAGGAGGATACTTAGGGTGAAGAGTAGTAATAGATGGTATCCAAAGCAGTTGAGTGGAAAAATGCAGCAAGATATGCCAAGGTATGCCTATGCTGGTTGCTTACATAATGATTACATCACTTGTTCAAATGGGGCATGGAAAGGAAGTGTCTGACCCAAACCCCAAACAGGGTGACCCTCTTACCTCTCCTGTACAACGGACTCCAGACTGGCTGTGGCTAGGGATCCGAGAGCCTTATGCAGGTCTTTATGTAGAGGATTAAGGTTACTCAATAATGTTTTGGCCTGATCATTGTGATCTTAGTTTTATTCCTAAGTCTCTAATTTAGAATTTAAATGTTATTTGTTTTTTACATTGATCACATTTATGGTAAATAAGTACTTCTAAACCTTAATTAACTATGGTGTTCAAATCAGGATTTAGCTTAACAAAAATCTGGTTAATTAAAAGTCCTTTTTACTTCTTTATCATCAATGTGTTAGTTATTTAGTGTACTAAATATTATCAAATCCTTTCTTTCCTATGTCACCACTTTCTTTCACAGTCTGGATGCTTAACTGTAGGGTAATCACTGGTAAGGATACTGATGATATACATTCCTCCACCACTGTCGCCAGACTTTCCAACAAACTCTAGCTATTAAAAAGAGAGAGAGAGAGAGAGAGAGTGTGTGTTAACTGAATGGAAAATCCAGTGGTTCTGTTTGTAAAGGAGCTAATCTGGCCAAGAGTTTGTAGACGGTAACCCTCTTATTGTCTCAGTTGGCTATGTAGAGAATGAGGCTATAAGAGAATGATACCAAGTATCAGTGGTAGAAATAAATCATAAACATAACAGAAAAAAGAGACAAACAACAACAAAAAAAATAGACTTACTGGATCATCTGCCAGCAGAGTGAGATACTGATCAAGAACTTGCTTAGAGATGTTATAGCCAACAGGTAGGGATCTGAAGATCTATGGGAACAAAAAGAGACAAGGAAAATGGGTTTGGGAACAGAACTGCTGACATCACTAAAATAAAGGTGTTTTCATTTTAGATACCACAGTATAAAAATATCTAAAACTACAGCAGCATTGTTTGTAACAGTGAAAATCTAGAAACAATGCAAATATCCAATAATAGATGAAATGGATTAAAATAAAGAACAACATAGTCATTAAGTGGAATATGATATAGCCATTATAAAGAATAAGACAGATCTATAACTGATGTGAAAAGAAGGTTTATATCATACTGGCATGTGGAAAATGTAAGTTTAGAACAGTAGATAGAGTATAATCCATTATTTTTTGGTTAAAATATATATACATATACCTACATATATGTGAGATACATAAAAAAAGGTCTGAATAAAGATACATATCAAACTATTAACAAAGATCTCTGAGGTTGGAATTATGCAAAACTATATATAGGGTCTAGCAGAAGTAATGCCTGCTTCAGTGTGGTTGGTAAGGCAACAATATGGGTGTAATAATTTAGTTTTAATTTGAACCTAAAATGTCATATGGTGTGCTTGTGTGTGATATTGCTATGTTACAAAATTATATGCTTATGATTTTATAATAAAAGATTTTGTAATAAAAGGGCGGGGCATTATTTGTGCCAGACCCTGTATGTATTTAAATTGAGGTATGTTACATATATAGAAGCACAGGTCTTCAGGATTTAATTTGATGAGTGTTGAAGATTGTATACAACCATTTAAGTACCATCCACAATAAGATATAGAACATATTCAGCATTCCTGAAAGTTTGGGGAGCTACAACTTTTATTTTTTAATCCTTACCTGAGGACTTTTAGAGAGAGAGAAACATTGATTGGTTGTCTCTCATATGCACCCTGACCAGGGGGATCCAACCTGCAACCTAGGTATGTGACCTGACCGGTAACTGAACCTGCAACCTTTCAGTTCATGGGATAATACTCCAACCAACCGAGCCATACTGGCCAGGGTGGAACTACAACTTTTTAAAAATTAACATGTCTATGCTGTTTGAATATAGATCATGTAATTATTTTTATCATCAGAAAAAAAACTTTAATTTTTTGTTATATGAATTAAAAATTTTTATATAAACAATATAAAAGTTTACTAAATATATTTTATATGGAAAAGTATGATTATGATAGTAATAGAATATAAGTAAACATATTAGAAACATTAAATATTAACATTTTAAGAAACAGATGTAATAAAACATTTAAAATGTGCAAAATTAATATATTGGGAAAAAAAAACAAATATAAGGAGCCAAATAATGCATTTTTAGAATGGGAATAGTTTGTACTATGACTAATAGAATGGTTTAAATTTTTATAGGCTGGATCCAAGACACCAAATATTTTAGTACCTACTACCTGAAGGTAATCTCCATCTCACCTTAAACAACAAAGACTCTTTCTTTTAAGGCTCCAAGCTGAACCTAATTCTAGGCTGTATGTTGTAATATCCAAGAATCTGTCAGAATAGTAGTACATCAAACTCACCTCATTGGAAGACAATGGCTGGGTGAAGGGGGCGCTAGAGGGAGTGGTAACCTCACTCATCCGAAGCATGGTCCTCACAATCTCGCTGCTGGTCTGTATTTGAAAAGGGAACTGGAATTCAGAATTCATTCCTCTCTGCTGGTTCTGGCTAAATATCCATGGCTACATCTGGCAAATAAGAATGTCCCTGATGGTCACTGTTCCACCCACATAGATATCACCTGGTCCATCCTGTTAGCAACTGCGCTGACAATGGCTTGGTCTCGGAAATGCTGATGGAATCTGTCAAGGTTTGCCTGCCAATAAATTCCATCATCTGGAATGGGCTGAGGAGGAAGACAGGATTAGAAACATCTAGATGCAGTGAAGAATTTTCTGGTGGGGAGCTTGGATTGAACTAGTCACCATTTCTTTTCCCATACAGTAGCAATAAACTGGTTGCAGAAAAATCATCCAGTCAGGTGGACTAGTGCCTCAATAAATTCAGTCTCAGACCAGATTCTCTAAGCCCACCTCCAACCTTTTTCTCTCCACTTATATTTTTACTCTTCTCCAGTATCCTCAGATTTCTCACTTACCCCACCCTTACCACTCTCAGCAGATGACCTTGCATCTTATTTCAGAGAGAAAACAGAAGCCATTAGGCCAGAACTCATTCAACTTTGTGCACATATCTCCACATTTCTTCTTTTTAAAGACATTTTTATATACATTTTATATATTTATTTTTAGAGATAGGGAAATGGATGGAGAGAGGGAGAGAAACATCAATGTGTGGTTGCCTCTTAAGTGTCCCCTACTGTGGACCTGGCCCACAACCCAGGCATGTCCCCTGACAGGGAATTGAACCAGCAACCCTTTGGTACACAGGCCAGTGCTCAATCCATTGAGCTACTCCAGCCAGAACTCTACCTTTCTTTTTTAATTTCACTTTTATCACAGTGAAAAAAATGTTTCTCCTTTTACCTAAGGTTAATTCCCATACTGGTATGCTAGATTTTACCCTCTTGAGCATTCTCAGGGACTCAACTCAGTTTTCCCTCTTCTCTCAATCTTCAGCTTCTCTTTCTTTACTGTCTTTTTCCCATCAGCCTTTACCTTATTCAAATCTATACTCTAAAATAATTCTTCTTCAACACTGTGTCTTTTCTCATTTTCATTTTTGTCATAGCCAAGGTTTTCAAAGAGCTGACCATCTCAGCCGTATCCCCTTTCACAGATGTATTCAACCCATTTCCAGCACCGTACTGGATGAAATGCCAAGGTCCCTGAGGACCTCCTTGTTGCTAAGTTCAAAGAATACTTTCCAGTTCTGATCTTCTTTGATCTTTCTGAAACATATAACATGGCTGGACATTTTTTTCCTTCCTAACTGTGTGGCCCTGGGATTTTATGACACCATTCTTTTTTTTTTTCATTTCCTAATTTTAATTTCTTAAAAAATTTACTTTAGAAAGAGGGGAAAGGAGGGAGAAAGGGAGAAAAACACTGATGTGAGAGAGAAACATCGATCAGTTGCCTCTCATACATGCCCCAACTGGGGGATGGAACCTACAATCTAGGCATGTGCCCTGACCCATTATTGAACCTGAGAACTTTGTTTACAGGATGACTCCAACCATCTGAGCCATGCTAGCCAGGGCCTATGACACCATTCTTTACTGGTGCTCCTCGTAACCATTCTGACTACTCTTCCTCAATCTGCACAGATTCCTTTTCCAGATGCCACCTATACTGATGTTCCTCAGGGTTCTGTCCACAGTCATTTTTTTTTTTTTTTTACTCTATGTATTGTGCTTAGGTGATTTTACGTGTTCTTGAGGTTTTAACTACCTCAATCTACTAATTCTAGAACTCTCCATCACGTCCCAGATGCATAAACTCAACTGCCTATTTTGACATTTGCACCCGTTCCCCAAAACTGTTCTTTTTCTAAGTTTTCAGCTAACTATACTATAACCAACCCAATTTCTTAAGCTAGAAACTTATCATCACTAACCCCTTGCTCTCCCTCATATACCATCCAATTACCAAGTTCTATCTAGTCTTTTTATTTATCAAATATATATTTTTCTTTATCTTGACTGGCATTACCTTATTTCAGGCTTTAATTATGGCTCACATTGATTACTATGATAGCCTCCTAACTGGTTTTCATTTTTTCTTTTTTAATATAGTGGATGCTATAAAAATGGTAACTAGGTTTTCTACTTTTAATCTTGTTCCCTTTGCATCATTCTCCCATTACTCAGAGAGCAGTGTTTTGTTTTGTTTTTAACTTTTTTGGGGTCACAACTCCCTTGAATTATGAAGTACTTCACAGAAAAATGCACATGCATAAATTCCAGTGGACTCTTTGAAATCCATCCAAGGAGTTACACAAGTTATGAACCACTCTACTATAGTAATCTTTCTAAAATACAAATCTAGCCATTTTATTCCCCTGCTTAAAATTCATTAGTAGTTCCCCTGGCCTTCAGGATACAGTCAATACACCTCTTAGTCAATCAAGCAATATTTATTGATGTCCTGCTTGTATTCCAGGTGCCAGGGTCAAGATACTTGAGGAATGTATAGCCTACTGAGAGTACAAAAACAAACGGAGTACACAAGTAAAAAATAATTTCAGTTACTTATAAAGGCTATGAATATGAAATGGAAAAATGTGGTAGTGACTCAGGAA